TGCTCCCCAGTAGTTGGGACAGGACTGGATCTGCCCCCTTCCACTTCCCAGACATACACAGGACCATTTCCTATTGCTTCTTTCTTTAAAATGTTTAATCTTTTTTGCATGGGATGAGAGAACAGTCAAATAGTGACTGCTTCCAGAAAAGCTGGGACCTTTTTCTTAATCAAGATTTGGTGCTATTTCATGTTCAGTAACCCCACAAAAACAGTGGGCTCCATAAAAATCATCAATGTCAGAAGGAAAAAATAGATTACATTCATTGCCATGAGACCTAATTGGCAAGGTATGGTTTAAATTAAAAAAGAAAAAAAAAGATTTGCACAGAAAAGCTCCAATTTGTTCCACAGCCCAGCAAATAAAGTATTAGTATTGTTCCTTTACCCTGAATAAAACACCTCAGAATTTAAAATGAGCATTGACTATATTAACCAGAGCCAATGGGAGTTTAGCTCTCTCTTTAAATTGATTAAATTAATATCACTAGTCTGTTTAATAGTATCACAGGTTCTGTGCGTCTGTTTTCAAAATGAATACTGGGTCACAAGGAGAGAAATGAGGGCAAAACGGCAGCATTCTCCACCTTCTGGAATGATGGGCAGACCATTTAAAACCATCAAACCTTTCTAACGTCTCCTGCTGGGCAGAGAGACGATAAAGGGCTCTGACATGATCCTATCGGAAGAAGTCTGTGGCTAAACTCACTGTCACAGTTCAAAAAGAGCCATAAGCTCTGCTTTTAAACTAATCCTAATCTATTTTAGGAGGATTTGTACTTCAATGTATTTTTTTTAAGCATTTGCAAACAAGCATTTTCAGCGAGTTAACCAAAAAACAAACCTCTCAGGTTCCTCTAACAGAGCCAAATCGGGGAAATCTGTTGTCCCGTTCGATTTGACGGTCATGAGAAACTCTACCTAAACAGAAAAGCAGAAGAAGAAGCAGAATCGAACATTAAAAGTGTATAATCTGTAAATGGCAGCCGGGGTCGGTCTTCTGGAAGCTGTTGTGTCAGTTTCTGAAGATTTGTGAACGCGGAGCACTCCGGGGGATAATGAGAGATTAAAGCAAACTTTCCCTTGAAGACTTGAAAACCTATAATCTTTAACCCAAAACAAGGCCGACGGATTAGGAAGACATGCAAGACTTTAAATAAAAAATCTGACATGTGATGCTGTGATTATACCTCAACAGAATAGTTTAATCCCGTATCATAAATCCAGGATGAGAGCTGGGTTGGTTCAGATTTTTCTACAATAATCATGCAGTGAAGTGCACACTGGATCAGAACAAGTGTTTATTATGGACAGAAAGAAGTTTTTTCTGAGATTAACAAAAAAAAAAACATGTATTCCATATTCAAAATGTGTGAAATTCCTCTGTAAATTCTAATTTGGAGAATTTAACAGGAAACCTTTTAGAGAAACGTGTTTTTTGTCCTGTCCAGGGTCACGGTGGCCCTGTGATGGACTGGTGACCCTTCTGAGCTGACCAGCACCTGGGGAAGACTCCGGAAAACACATGAATCCATATGCCCAGGTGCTGTTAGAGCGGAGGGTGCGGGTCAAGAAAGACAGATCGGCAGTTTATCACGGAGCTAGAGCTGGAACAAACTGGACAGGAGGCCTCCAGAGGTCAGGTCAGAATGATGGAGTAACTCTCCACACTCCCATACAATGTTTCTACGTATCCCTGCTCAAACACAGATGAATGGGTCCTCACTACCCTTCAGCAGAGCTTTAAAACAGACAAATTCAGGTGGATGAGGGACACATGGAAAACATTCAGGGCCACACGCCTAGAGGAACCGGGCTAGGAACCATTGATATAACGCCTGAATTTGGACTGTGGAAGGAGGCAGGAGGAAAAAATATTGGCTTTTTTTTCTAAGAATTGGTTTAAAAGGATAATAGGATAATAGTGACTGGTGGCGTAATCATGTAATAATTCCTTATGACTAAATTTTGTATCTCATTTTGTATATTGAAGTGGACATGTTAAGTACAATTTGAAAGAAGAAATATAAAATATGATAAAAATACATTTTTGTGTTTAATTGATTCCTATTCAAGACACCTAAGATAAGATAAGAATAACTATAGTGTTACTATAGGCGGCTACAGATTTGTTTGAAATTTTTGGTTGGTGGTGTGCCTCGTGATTTTTTCAATGAAAAAATGTACCCTGGCTCAAAAAAGGTTGGAAAACACCGTTCTAAGGTGAAAGCAGGCCGACTCGTTGTGTTATATGCTTCGGGAAAGCATGGAAAATCATTACCATGGCCTCTGTATAACCTCCATAAGTCAGGTTAGCGTCAATAACCGGGCCTTTAAAAATTGATAAGGTTGATCACCTCGCTCATAGAAAGACCATTTCTGAGCAGACACCCCTGAGAGGTTATCCTCATATGTGACTCATTCCCGATGTGTCACGCTGAACATCGTTTCAGGAAAATCATCTCTGCCATGTTATCAACATATTGCTCAGAAACCTGACAGATACACTGGGAGAAACTATTAATCCCAGTTTATTCACAGATCCTGCTGCAAATCTCAGTCTGATTTACCTTTAAGCAGAATAAATCTGACAATTTCATTATACAACACAGTCATGATCACTCTGGAAAATCTTGCTGAATAATTATTCATGTGCAGGGCAGGCCCCCCTGTCAAACAGGGAAACAGACACGAACTGCCCCAACAACCTGACATATGTAAATAAGTCTGATCATAACGCCAATTTGGAGAGTTCTTTGAGCAAATCCCTCCTGTTTGACATGTGGAAATGTCGCAGAGCTGCATTTATTCATGTGAACATGCGAGGCACATTCCTGTCCCAAGGCCCTGGAGACAAAAGATGTGGAACTCCCCGGAGGAGAGTGACCTGGAGGACAGAGCCACGCATACCAGCTGGACTTGACACAAATAGCCCCCCCCCCCCCCCCCCAACCCACCCACCCACACAAATGCTCATTCACCACTTGGACCAAATCTGCTGAATTCATTTTGAATTTACATGCTTGTTGTTATAGAAAGGGTTTGGTTCGGACATAATGCACCAAATCTGATAAACAACATTATGACTGCAGAAAAAAGAAGAAAAAAAAAAGCCCTCTGCCCCCCCGGCCCTGATGTGATGCATGCAGGGAGTCTATCGGTCACCCATAAACATGTTCTACATCTGTGTGCTGCCCGATAAGAGTCTTGCACAGTTTACATTTCTTTATCTGCAGCAATTATTATGAATTAGTTTAAGATACTTTGGTACTTGTTACTTTACACATGGCTGCAAGGGGAAAGCGTAAAAATTCATTGTGCAGGTTAAAAAAAAATAGAGAGAGAAGTGGGGAAGCTTTTTAATATGTGGTGATCCGGTAAAAAATTCAAAGCTGACTGATCAGAAAACTGGCTCCGGGCCATAAGGATGCCTAACTTCATGTTAAAGCAAAGGACCCACGAACCTAACTGTGTAATAAATATGAGATGCTGCCACCTAAAGGATACACAGAGTAAATAACACAATTAGAAAACCAATTATTACAGTTTCATGAATTCTCGATTTTGCTTTGCCACCTGCCAACAAAAATAATATCCCAAAATTTGGCAAACTGTCAATAGAAAGGTAATAAAACATAATTTTAGTAATAAAGGGGAAAATAATCCTCGGATAGGTAATGCATGAAGACAAATTGAGTCTCTGATGAGAAAACATGTGCTGCCTTTAGTGTATTTGGGACGTGAGAATGTTAAAAATTCAATCGTATCTAAAATAATTATGATATTTTGATCCGCTATGTGAAGGAGGAGGGAGGTTGTCTGCCTCTTTATGTTCCTTGATGGAGGCCAGGCGTTTTGAAGTTTTATCTGGATACCATGAATGATTTAAAGCAATCTGCAGAGGAACTGCTGAGATGAATCAAAGCAGAGAAACAGAGACTGAGCTGCCCTCTTCACTAAACAGAAAGTTTGGGCTTTTTCTCAGACTGTAGTCTCTAAAAGTAAGCAGTTGGCATTTGAAACCTTAATCAAACATACTTATGAAAACAGACCTGGTTGATTTGCACATGCATGAAATACTAATACATCATACAAAGTTAGACAGCTTCTCTAAAGTCGGGTTACCTCTTCATTTTAGAAGTTATCTGATTAAAACTGTTGGGTGAAGCGCAAACGTCTGGCAGTATTTATTCTTAAACGTCTTATTTACTCGTGGAAAGGCAGTTATGGGGATGCTTTACAAACCTCAGAGCTCTTTATTTCTAGAGATTTCAACTCAGCGTTGACCTCTTCTGGTGTGTAAACTGTACAGCGGCTGGTTTCCGAGTTGAGGAAATGAAAATATGAAAATATCTGAAAATATCTACAGCATGTGTTTAAAAAAAAACAACTAAACATAACTAGGAATTATGTCTTACATTCAGATGGCTCTGTCTGTCATTACCGATAGACTCTATATTGAATTTCCATGCACAATATGTAAAAAATAATTAATAATCTTCAATTTCATTCAGGTCTGCTTTGTCAAACTGGGAGCTTGCAGGTAGGACACCAACCAGTCATTAAAGGAGAAAAATACCAGAATAGTCCTTTATGGTGGATAAAGCTGAGGTGGGAAACTAGCTTTGGGTGTGAATAAAAAAATGTAATTGGTTTTTGAGAATGCTGGCAAAAGCCTCCTCCAGGAAGCAAACAAATAACGAAACCAAAAAAGAAATCCAAAACTACTGACAGTCTGAAATCCCACATTGATGGCCAATGTGAAATTTGAGGTCTTTTTTAGGTTTTAGGAATTTTAGGTCTTTTGCAAAAGGTCAAAATATTAGACCGTGTTTTATTTTGTCACTAATGTTTTTGTTATTAGGTATTTTGGACCAAAATGAATGAGGTGTGAAATTGTTGTCAACTAACAATCAAGCAATTCAATCTTTAACTAATTGACCAATGAACATACTTGGAAATGCAAATGTCATTCCCCAAAAGATTAAGTATTCTTTTGCAGGGACATAAAGTGCAATCTGAAATAGTACAAACTACATATGACCTGGGATTTACTACATTTATTTATTCATTATTTATGTGTTTTTTTCAAGGTTTATTACAACTGTGTGAACAGCTATTTGTTCAGTAATTATCTTCAACAACTCCTGAACCCACAATAATCCTCATTTCTGCTGCTGCATCACAGATTTAACACACAGGATTCACAGTTTTAGGACTGGAGCTGATCTGTTACCAAACACAGCCTTTAATTTCTATTTTGAAAGTGCTTTGCAATGCTGAAGTATTACAGTCAGTACAAACAACAAAATATCTAATAAATCTTTTTTTTCCCCTTTTTTTAATGTTTAAATACTACAAATGCAAAACCAATAAGTACGGTAAGTGCTTCTTGTTTTGTTGGGTTCTTTCGATCTAACGTGTTCAAATGCAGCATCGTATTAAAATCGTATTAGAATGCAAAAGTTTAAAACAAATTAATTATCCAATCTTTACTCCACAGACTGGGTCAATTGTATGCTTTTGCACATCAATAAAAAGCAGACACACTGGGAGAAAAGCCAATAAAAGCATATGCTAAAGAATCACAGAAGACAGAGGGTCCAAAAGTGAGGAGGAAAGGACAAAAAAAATTGACTCACGCACATTAAGGCGAACTAAAACCCTCTCAATAATATGCTAATTTTGCTCTCTAGGAAGAGGATGTATCTACAGACAACTGATTGCTACTTTGTCAGCTAAATCAAATTTGTTGGTTGGTTTTGTATTCACGGTGTGTTTCCTCTGCCACAAGCAGGTCTTAAATCTGGTCTCAGCCCAGCAGTTAATAACCCAGAGTATATCATAGACCAACTAAAAATAAGACATTTCAAATCCGGCTGGAGCTTTTAGGACATGCTGCTTCATATTTGATCTTTCCGGAACAATTCGTCTCCGTTCTCTTCTTCTTCTTCTACTGCATCTGCTCGGCCAGGACGGAGTCCTTCACTCCTGCCGCCAGCACAGCGAAGAGGAAGGGGGGGAAGAGGGAGCGGAGGTAGAGGGCCACCCTGGGGATGGGGTGGGCCAGCACCACCTCCTTCCTCTTCCTGTTCACCGTCTGCATGATCTCATTGGCCAGGACGGGGGGCCGCACGCCATGGGTCAGCTGGCTGGCCAGAACTGTGGGGACAGCAGATAAAAAACGAACAGAACTTTTACACATTTTTGTCAGTGTGAGGGGAGGTCTTGGGTTCACTCACAGGCCAGCAGGGCGTTCTGTGGGGGGGCGGGCTCCGCGGCGGCCGGGGGCTCGGACACGTTGATGAAGGTGTGGCTGACCGTGCTGACGGTGACCCCGTACTCCTCCACCTCCGCCCTCAGGCAGTCGAAGAAGGCCTGCGCTGCGTGTTTGGAGGCCGCGTCTAACAGCAAACACAGCACACCCCTTCAGCCACCTCCTGTACCTGCCTTTTCTGAGTGGCGAGACCGGGGGGCTGTCCAGGCCGTCCACACCCATTTCTACAGACACAAAAAGTCTGGAAAAAGACTCTTATTCCCCTGATTACACAGAGATAGTTGGTCTGATTGTTTCCCCCCTCAACAAAATAATGGTGGTAACTTACTCTGTGTTATTTAGGTTGGAAAAAGGATTTTTAAAGGAGTATTAGTGTTGTGGCAAAAATATGAGAGCACTATTTAATTGATGATATACAAAAATTGTTTTTAATGATTGGCCTCAATCGATGTGACTAATTCAGTTAAATATTATTCTCTTACTAATTTCAGTAAACTCACTTTCTACAGGTTATGAGCATCTTGAAAATCCACTCTCTTGTCCATACACTTGACCAGCTGCTGAGGTGGACATTTTTGTGTAAATCATTAGGGCTTTATGATAAAGCATCAAGTTTGGAATGTAGTTACATTATCAAAAAGATGTGTCTTATGTATTATCGCTTCAAATGAAGAGTATAACGTATCAGGCCAAAGATGAGAAAGGCAGGGTCACTCTGCTGCGGACAGCTGCAGCTTTGGGAGGCCAATCAGCATTTCCATCATATCCATTTTGGATTTTAAAAAGTTACCTCCTTTCTCTTTTTACTTCCATGCAGCTTTCATGTCAGTTAGAAATGGGATCAAGGTAAATTAGCGTATTCAAAAATCCCCATTTACTCAGGGGCTAAAGAGGATTGTGTCTTACTGAAAGTCTGTGTACAAAATATTTTAACTGTAAGTCCATAAAAGTTTGGTCAAATCTGAAAAATTCCATGGCTCAGAGTTGAGAATCTCTGTGTATCTGTGTGCCGATACATAAAGTATCCTATGTACTACGGTAATGTGGAATGGTGAGGCTGAAACGGCATCGATGGAAGACGAGGAAGAAACAGAAACTGAAGGAAGAGAGCAAAAGCAGAGCTAATAAAAGAGAGCAAATGTCTGCGTTTTATTACAAAAACAAGAGAGAATATGCTGGACAAAAAGCCATCATGGTGACTGAATACTGCAAGTTGACACCTCTTAAAAAAGTGTTGGAACCAGATCAGTCCACCACAAAACTACGAGGCAGGAACTGCTCCCCTACCTGAATATGGAAATTGAATGTATTTTATCTGCACCCTTCACTTTTTATCTATTTCATTTTTCTAATTGTTTAATCTTCTTCTTTTCTTGTTTTTCTGCTTTTAAATTCTTTGTGAAGAACTTTGTGTGTGCAACCGGGCAGGAAGAGCTTTGAGCAGTTCCATATCGGGCTGTAAGCTAATGTGGAGATGTTGTAATATTTGATCGTGCTCTTATAAACTCGTGTTGTTATAATGACAGTATGGTTTAGAGGTTTTTAGAATTTTTGGGTTAGGGTTAGGCTTGAGTGGGACCAGAAATTCATGTAATGATTCATTTTGGCAACTTACATGAGCTTCTGAACGGGACAGCCAGTCTCCCCTGGATACTGTTGACCAGTAAAATGTGTCCCGACCGTCTTGAGATCATTGATGGAAGAACACCTGCGACATTATACGGATTTTTTAAAGCATCTGCGCAAGATCAGTAGCAAAACATTCAAGTTAATCCTATAAAGAACACAAAAAATCCCGCCCACCTTTGGCAAGAGTGCTTGGGCCAAAGTAATTGATGTCCATGATGTTTCTGTCCAGTTCCAGGGAAACGCTCTGAACGGGGGCCTTCAGCTTCATGCTGCTGTTGCAGATCAGCACGTCCACGTAGCCGTAACACTCCAGCATCTCCCCCACCACGTCCTCCATGCTGTCGGTGTCGCTGAAGTCCAGGATCACCAGCTTAGGGGCAAACGTCTAGAGAAGGACAGGAGGAGCTTAACCGCATGAGGACAACAAACTGAAGCGAATCGACATCAGAAGGTTAACATGTAAAGGCTTTGGAATTACATGGGTAAACATAAGTTTAAGGATAGAGGTTTTTAGGTAAAAATGTGGAGAAACTGACCCTCATCTTAGGAGATCAAAGTCTTTTATCTCATTATCTTTAAATTTTCTTTTAAATCCTCCCCCGACTTTGCTGCCTGTTCCTTTGTCTAAGTCGATCCCATCAGAGATGGAATGATAGGGGGTGTAGAGGCCAGTTGGATGGTGTTTATTGCTTAGGAATCTTCCTGAATGAACCACTAACATCTACATGGCATACTTAAGAAGAGCTGTACAAACTCCAGTGCTTCTTATAATTAAGCATGAGCTCAAGTGGAATATAACTTATGAAGGAAGGTGATCATTTATTTTATGGAACAATATGACTTTTGATATTCTTTTAGAACTTTATTCACTGATTATAAAGTTTTGCTGCATTATATATCCAATATGATATGCATGAGACAAATGCAACAATGTGATAATAATATAATAATAATATATGGAAGCCAATCCAAGCTCTGGGAAAAGACAATAGAAGATCATTGTCATGCCTTCGCAGTCAAAATATAGTTCCATGAAGGATTTGAAAAGAAAAAATCAGAAATAAGGGGTTTGATATATCTATTATTCCATCCCTAATGCCCCTAAATATCGAGTTTTGAAGAGGGTGCTGTCAGTTTCCTAAATCCTCTGATCAGTGCAGTGTGGCAGAAAAAAGTCTCAGAGTTTGGAATTGTTCTGGTTCACTTTAGTCACTTTGGAATTGTCTTTGTGTTGTTTGGATGTTGCCGTTATTGGCTTGAGTGAAGATTTATTCTCTGATTGTTTTAGTTTAACTGTTTACTGCTTCCTTTTCTTTTTGCATTTGATTTAAATTCGCCTTTTTTTTTTCCTTTTTCTATCTTCACTCGGTTTAGTTTCAAGGTTATTCTGCCTCACATCTGGACCTGTAGCTGTGTGTGTACAGTTCCCAGGCCTGGCCTTTAGGAGACTGACCACACAGTGTTGTTGTTTTGGGCACATCGGTCACTTGTCATTAGTCTCTTCTGTATTTAAGCTCCGGGTTTTTTCTCAGGCAAATCCTTTGGTTACTCTGTAGTGCTGATTCCTTCTCCCAGTATGTCTGTTTTTGGTCTTTTGTTTAGCCTGTGTTAAGATCTTGGGGTTCTGTTTGGAGTTTCTTGACTTAAGTTTAAGTTTTAATTTTAGTTTCTTGGTTCTGTTTTCCTGTGATTCGGTTTCCTGTATTTTCTTCTGGTATCTTTCTTCGCATCCTGTGTTCTTCTCTTGAGTCTGGCTTCACTTCCCTCAGTTTCATTCCTGCTCTGTTCTGTTCTCAACTCAACTCCGTTTACCTGTGTTCCTGTGTCACCTGCTCCTAATCCACCAATCCCACTCTACAAAAGCTTCCTAGTCATTTCTTTCCTTGCCAGATCCTCTAATAGCCCACATGTTGCTGTCTCTGGTTCTGTTTCCCCTCTCTTCCTCCCAATCTGTCTTTTTGTCTTTTCAGTTTTTCCAGTCTTCCTCGCTAATCTAAGGTGATTGTTTGTCTGTTTGCTGTGTCCCACTTCGACTTCTCTTAACCGATGCCAACAAAGGGAGAACTTCCTCGTTGGTCTTGTAAACATGATAACATTGAATCTGGCTGCGTGATTCTTTTATGTCTCAAAGTAAATCGTCATGAAAATATTAAGTCATTCGTGGGAGGTTTTATTTTAATACAAGATATTTACTTTTCGGTGAAAAATTAATTTTAAAAAAACTTCTTTTTTTTTATTAACTGCATCAATCAAATAGGAAATAGATCAGGGAAAAAATCTGAATCTAAATTGATTAATGAGAGTTAAATAATTCCCAACCCTTGGACACACCACCATCCATCAAATGTGACACGTGACAAAGCTGCATTTTGTTACTGATACTTGTTTTATTCCAGAATAATGCTGTTTCATTATATTTGTCCAATAAGGCATTTCTGTCAATTTACACACAAAATTGACCTAAGAAATATTTAATCTGCACTTTCAGCTCCTGCAACAAACCCCATCCCTCTTCGTGGTCAATATTGGGGATGGATTTTTTTCCTCAAAATAGCTGGGTCGAGGTGAGAATAAGGTCAGGTCTTATGTATTTGGCTGTTTCATGCAATTCACTACTTCCAGGGAGGCCTTTAGAAACTGTCCTGACACCTCTTTTCTTATTTTATTTATTCATCAGGTCAATTTATGGAACCAGAAGAACAATTTCGACCTGAAAATTCATCAATAAAATTCTGATCTGTAAGGATCCATTGGACTGATGAAATTACAGTTTTAACATATATATTTATGATAGGGAGTTGAAGAATAAGATTAGTAACTTAGTTCTCTGTGAGTAGTGATCACTGTTTTCATTTGAAAATCTTTAAAAGTAGTCTATGAACAATTTTAACTATTAATCAAACCTTGTCTAGCCACCACTGAGATTTAACAAATAGCAGAAAATGTATTTCAAGATTGTGTGTAAGTTGTAGTTAGATTAAAGATTCTATATATTACCCAATGAGCTGGAAACATCCCTACTGGTAAGCATATTTTCTCTTACTTTATTCAGTCTACAGACACCTTGTGCTCTGCTTTGTGTACTAAAGACACTTGAGGACAGCGTGCTGTCAGACAGGATGTCCTGTTATTGTACTGAACAGAGGAAATGGGGATCTGGGAGCAACATAGCAGGATTATTATAAAAACAAAACAAAAGGACAGATACTGATATTCTTAAAGTAGTCGTGACAGCGTCACGTGCGAGAACATGCTGGCTATCGAGGGAATTTTTCCGTTGTGGGAAGGCCTTTGAAGGGCTTGGGACTGTCACGGTTTTTGCCTCATTGCCGAGAAATTTGCAACTAATTACTGGACACAATGCTGGTGCATTTAGAGTAAAAGACTTGTTATAAACCACATGTCTTTTTCAAAGAAATCAATTGGTGCGTACACAAATTAAGTCACCTAAAAAGGGTTTGGCTTGTTTGCTTCAAATCGAGGCAAATTCCGACACGCACCGCCGGTTTTTATTCAATCTCCTCACCTCTCTGGGATCAGCGTTGTTAGTCAGAGAGTCATACAGGGACTCCAGCTTATCCCAGGTATTCCCACAGAGGACCAGTCTGGCACCACCTTTATGAAAGAGATGGGCACACTCTGCAAAAAGAAAAGGAAGAAAAGAGACAAAAAGAAATAAACAGATTGGCAACTTTTCTATTTGCTTGAACTGTGTCTACAAGGGAAGCGTGTTCTACTTTGCTTGTTAGCTCAGGGCCACACAGATACAACCAACTACAAAACACCCCCAGTCACTCCTAGGAGCAATTTGGAGTCTCCATTCAACCCAACATGCACGTTTTTGGACAGTGGGAGGGAGCAGAGAATGGGGAGAACATGCAAAGTCTACACATTAAGGTCCCGGTTCCCCCGGGGACTCGACACAGGAACCCTCTGAACCCTCTGTGAGGCGACAGTGCTAACCACCACACTATCATGCTTCCCTCTCTGAAAATATGATCTGATCAAATATGATGTACGATAAGCATAGCTGTAAGGACACAAACTGGAATGATTTTGACATTTAAAACCAGCCATTCCAGATTTTACAAGATTATTGTTGGGTGTAGCTTGATACTTAATAATGTATCTGCCAAAATATTTATCATTTTAAAAGATACAGTATATACAGTATATAGTATATGCATCTTCCAAAAGATTTTCCTTATATGAAAATATAAGGAAAATCAATCAATATAAAAGTGGAAAAACAGTAAATAGATTGCTTAGTTGTTTGCAAAATAAAGAAAATCTAGAACATAACTGACTGTTACTTGTCAAAAGCTGGACCTGGCCATTAAATTGGACAACAGTCCTTTTTCCGGTATGCATATACAGAGGGGTAACTGAGAATTGTCTGATGCTGTGTTAAGGTAGTAATACCTTTCGTCTTGCTGCGAAAACAATTGACAAAGAATTTATCAGACAATTTAGTTAAAAAATCATACCACGGTTATATGTGAACGAGAGCTTTTCTGGCCATTCTGTAAGTGCTACACTGTTTACTTATGAATGTTAGGCTTTGTTATTCCTCTATGGTTACCAGCTACCTCTTCTTTGGTGCAAATGATATCCTAATGAGCCTTTATTTGACACTGTCCCAGAGGTTTATGTGCGTCCGAGCGATATTAAATATCCAAAACAAAGATCAAAGGATTTACCAATTCCCACCCCGGACACAGCATCAGTGATCACCACCACCTTGTTTTTCACTAAGGACTTGGACATGAACTGCATGACCTGGTTGTAGATGTAGTACACCCCTGCTGCGGTGAGCACCAGCAGGGGCAGAACCATGAACGAAGGCAGGCCCATCTTCTGTGGAGGAGAAAATACAACGATCAGTACGGAAACTAGACTAACACACATGAAGTTTTACTGAGAACACACACCATCTGCTCATCAACGCAAACACTGCATCAGTTATGGTTACAGGAAGAAAGTCTGACTGAAATTACTTGCAGAAAGTACACAAGGAAAAGCTGAAAAAGTCCTTCCTGAAGAGCTGTTCCTAACACAAAGCTGTATTAGTACTTTTTAGACACTGGTCAGGCTATAATGCGCTCCCTGGCCTTGCTGCTGTTACTGCTTGATCCTACTGATCAGTGGAAGCTATTTGCATTATTTTAGTGTATGCTTTCAGAGTATGTGTGTCTCTGTGTTGTATTGTCAACATCACTGAAAATGTGTGGATAACAGCTTCAGCCATGCTGACACTGCTTTTTCCATATGATTTGAATGGCTTTATACTACAGTATATTAACTAGAGTGTATTATCTCAGCCACCTAAATCTAGCTTTGTACCCTATGAACACGGCACTAAAGAGGAACAATCTCCCTTTGAACATGGAGTGTGAAAAGAGCTTTTGAGTTTGCTTAAGTGGATTCACATGATCGGGGATTTTGTGAGAAAACAATTTCCATACTGTCTAAATTTAGTACGAAAAATTAAACCTCAGTTGGATTTTTATTGTCTTGGAAGTCAAAATTTAGAATGGGGTCACACCTAAATTGATTTAGCTTCAGTTTTAAGTCGACCGACTAACCAGATTAACTTCCTGATTGGGCTGGCCACGACAAAAACAAAGTGATATCAACACATAAAACCCTTTTATGGGTTTCCAATAAGGGTCCACATCGATAAACATAACATCTGCATTTCAAAGTAGTTTCAAATGTTGTGAGGGGGCCTAAATGGATTACAGCACTCAAAACTTTGATAGAACTATGACACTAATTTCACATTATTTCATTTGGGGAATCAGGCTATTCTGTATTGGGCAATTGTAAATTGAATTAAAGCTAACTCAATTTCAATGCGCCAGTAGTTGGCATTTGCCTTGAATAAAAACTGAAAAACACAGTCTTCCAAATCTTGAAGGCACCAGTGGGTGGCTTTGCTGCCTCAGAAACGGTGCCAGGCTAGCTGCCTCCACTTAGCCTGGACAATTAGGGACAGTTAGCTCGTTAGGCCACCGTCAGTGCTAAACTAAGATAATCACCTCCTCTATCACGCTCATTTTATTGTCCCTACGGGAATGAAGCTATTGTTGTCTACATCTAACAGTTTTGAGAGAAAATCTCTTTCTATAACATCAAAGTATTTTAACATGGCAGATAGACAAACCTCAATTTGGCTGGACTGGGACAAATGATGGTTTTTGGCTCTATATGTGTTAAACCTCCTGAGGCCACAGCCTTGCTAACACACTTACCATGTAAAGTGAGTTTGAGGTGAACAGCTAAATATATTCAGGCTGTAGTACCACCACAGAATGCGGTAGCACTATGTCACTAACGGGATGCTGTCATAAGATACTCCAAAGATACTCCTCAGGAGCCTCACAGTTACAAGCAAAGAATGGCCTTATTTGTCCTGCTTTAGATGGAAAAACACATTAGGATAACATCTTATCCATATTGAAAACTCATGATGATACTGATATGATCTGGGTCCCAGCTCAGCTCCATGTTTGGAGCAACACATGACGTGCGTTTTGTCAGCCTGTGCCATAGCAACCATCCGACAGACACTCACACTTGTAATCTGTGTTATTATTGGTTCACTTACAGCATGGACAGAAGCTAATCCTTCACTGGGACCGGCGGCGTTTTTTTCCCCCCTGGATTAAGTTAGGTAATGAAGGCTTTTCTTTTCTTCCTGTGTCCCTGGTCCATTCACACAGCCCTGTCCCTCTGTGTTTGTCCCAGGGCTGTCCACTGGCACGCTGTGCCTAGAATAGCCTCTGCTGGAGTCAGCCATTAATACACGCATATGCAGAGTACAGTATCTGAAGCATGTTCATCTGGTGCCAGCATGGAGGGATGAACTATGAGTAAGAGTGTCAACTCTACTCAGTGATAAGCACTATCGTTATAAAGATTACTGTATAATAATGCATTCAAAGTGGTAGGCTAAACAATTACCGATACCAAAAAATTGTCTCAGAAAGAAGTGTATGTATTAGTTTCCTTGGCTGAAACACTCCAACAAGCGAAACATGTTCCAAAATAATAAATTGCATTAACTTTCTACTTACTTTCTTACATTAAATTATTATTATTTTGAGATACTTGTTACGACTGTATTAAGTCAGTGGCTCTTTATATATGCATTGTCCAAAAGAGGTTGTATATAACTGCTTAAAAATACATTTTGGCATATGTTTTGTGCATTTTGGTCTCTGTTCAGCAAATACATGTGTAAAAAAAAGTATTCCATAATGTTCGCGCCAGAAAATATAGGAAAAAAAACGTCATGCCGACAGGTCTAAATTTAGTCTATAATTACCAAATCTTCCCACAATATGAGTTTCTGTAGTTAATTAAAAGAACCAGAGTCTTTGCAAATTTACATTGATATCTTATATTATTAGAGGAATTGATGTTTTTTTGACTGAGTTTGGCACAAAGAGTGGTGAACCACAAAACATAAAACGGTTTCCACTTACTTTCTTACTTAATTATCTGACTCACAGTTTTAAGGATCATTCAGAATTATCATAACTGTACTTACACACCGTTGATTTATCACTTTGTGAGGGCTTAACTGACGGACTTTTATTTTTTATGTATTTTACTTCAGATAAAGAAAGGGTACATAATCTACCTGTGGCTTGAATGTCAATATAATTTTCTAAAAACCAAAAATAAAGAAACATTTCCATTCGAAGTTTCAACAAAAGCTGTAACGTTGTCTTATCGGTGGGAGGCGACAGAGCGCAGTTATCGCGAGATCCTGGAGAATTCCAGGAGCTTGTGTGTTCTCCCTCACCACTCCCCCTCACTCCGTTGGGAAAGAAGAAAATAAACCCACCGCTGCTAACCAGGCTAGTTATGGAACCAAGCCTGAAATACTCATTTTTCTCGTCGTGACTGGCCGAGTCGCGGTTCCTCTGCATGCACTGTATTTAGTCGGGGGGGGAAAGGCTTCTCTTTAGAATTTTCGGACCGACTTTTTTTCCCTTTAAAGTCCAGTTGAAGACGCCGGGAGAGGATTTCACCAGCTGGTGTGTAGCCGAGTGGGCTAGCCGTAGCATAGCAAAGAAGCACTGGATGAACTTCGCATGGACCGACTGCTGCGAACGGGATAGCAGCTCGCTGCTTGACTGCAGGCTTTCCTCTGGGCTGGGTCTTTGTCACGGGAGCCTGGTGGACTTCATGGGCGCTTTCCGCCCGCGGTTTGAAGGCGACGGCTGCACGCGAAGGCTTTTTGTTTGTTTGTTTGTTGTTTCGTGGCTTGCGCCATCACGTTATTGATCTTTAAATCCACCCGGCGAGCTAACAGGATATTAGCCAGCTTCTCTCCACTTGGCTTTGTGGTCGCAGGCCATGGACTAAAAGGCATTCATCACTGACGGAGTGATGGGAAGGCTGGCTGATGGCAGCTAATTATTTATCGGGAGGCAGCAGTTGGATACAGCCGAATTGACAGACGAAGCTTTTTAAAAACCCTTTCTCTTTTTTTTACTTCTTTTTTTGGTTGTTTTTTACTTGAAAATGCGTCGCAGTGCTGGATCTTTTTCCGAGTTGGGATAGTGGGAAAACACGCAAGAAAGCAGCGGGGTTCCAACGGCATAAAGGCCCCAGAGAGATATCGCTCAAAAGAGTTTTGGAAAAAGTGCGTAAATATCATGTCTGCCGCGAAAGAAAACCCCTGCAGGAAATTCCAGGCCAACTTCTTCAACAAGAGCAAATGTCAGAACTGCTTCAAGCCCCGGGAGTTGCATCTGCTGACGGACCAGGACCTGACCCAGGTAAGCGGGGGGCCCGGGGGGCACATTTCCCGTTCCCTCTCGCGGGGGTTCGGCGCTTTGGCTCCGGGTCCAGGGGAGGAGATGCTCCCGGGGACCGGGGACGAAAAAGGGGGGGACAGCTCTGTCACCGGATGTAAGGCCTACGTTTTCTGGGTTAGGTCAAAGTTGATGGGGAGCGGTCAACTGGGGGTTTGAGCCCGTTGTTGTTTATTTTTTTTGCGTGTGACGTAACCAGGTCCGTTAACGGGACCTTATCACCAAGTTTGGATCATTGTATGGCTGAGCCTCACACCTCCTAACCTCCACCTGAATGGGTAGATGAGGCCAGCTCTGCTCCAGACTGGTGCCCGATTGATTGTGTAACCTAAAGCTGTTCCTAAACGGTGTTAAAGGTTAGTGAAAGAAGACTTGAATGAAGAATGACAATGTAAAGCGAAGAGTAAAGATCAATTGAAAGTGAGTTAAGATGTTATCCCGTAGTGAGCGTGTTTTCCCCTCTTTCAGACCATTAGTTGAGTTTGTGTTGTATCCTGTAATTGATCCCAGATGAGGCGCCTGAATAGCAGCACCAGAACCAAACAGCAACGTCAGCATCCTCTTTTCCCCCTGTGTGTGAGTCTGTGTGTGTGTGTGTGTGTGCACACGCAGGGGGCGGCTGCATTCTTACACTCCGTTTCAAAAGTGTGCGTGGCTCTCAGCACCGAGTCCCGCACAGCTTAGCCCCCGCAGGTACCCGAGTCTTGTTCAAGAGGTTACGGTTACATCACTTCCTCTAATCCCCCCGTTGATCTGGCCCACACTCTCCCACAGCCCGTCCTCCTGGAACCAGAGAGAGGCTTACTGCCTCGGCCCGTCCTGTCCTGGCTCATCCCCGCTTGTCCCAGTCACCCGCAGGCTTTTGAAAACGGCTCCAGTTTTGTCCCCTGTCCAAACAGTCTGCAGGGAGCCCGGTTACACAAAAAGGGTTTTGTGAGAGCTCTGTCTTCAAAACAGCTCGCTCTGCCAGGCCATTACTGATCAGCATTATGTAACGCACTTGGTATTAAACTTCTGAGCCTTTGGTCAACAGGTCTATGGCGAAGGGAAGGCTTTCCGAAAAGGCTCCCTCTGTTCAGAAACTGATACACCCAGACTATGGAGATAAACCCAATAACCCCATGGAAAGAAACTCCAGGAGAGCCGTGTAATGCAGTTAAAAGATCGCAAGAAGGTGATTAAGTTCAGGGAGTTTGGTTCCTCAGTGAAATGCCGCTTCATCTGAGCCCAAAGCGAGATGAATTCTGAGCTCTGAAACAGATAGCTGGCGTTGGCGAGTAAAAGCAAAGGTTGTGGAGCTCACCGTCTGAAGCACGGCGTCCTGTAAAAACATTCAGTCTGTTCAAAGCTGTTAGAGTAAAAGTTGTACCGGGGGTGGAGGGCTGCTGCCTGAAAGTGAGTGGATTCCTTTATTACAGACATTCAGCCCACCAGCTCCTTTGCCTGTTGGAAAGGTTTAAACGCCGGTCTGGTTTCTGAGAGCCTTTATCTGAGTAAGCCCACCGTCCCGGCCAGCCGGCGGAGCCCGGACAGTGATGGAGAGCGCAGGAAGGAAAAGGTTTACACAAATGGAATTGAGAAAGACAGGCGGGGAGATGATGAAATGTGTGGAGGGGGAGCAGGAGGCGCAGAGAGGCAGGAAGCGGGCCGGGGAATCTGTCGGTTCCCAGAGGCTGCTGCTCAGCGTCCCACAGTGGAGGCCTGCGACGCAGCTGCCGCCTGACAGGCTGGAGCAGGTCTCCACGCTTCCCACAGAACCAGCCCCATTTCCTAATCACTTTCTTTAATGTGGAAGCCGTCAATTCGGCGAGCGTCCTCCGATCACGCGTCCAGCCGGGGCCGTTTTTCCCCACCAACCCAGACTAGGTTTATCCACGTCCCCTTATTTCTGTTTGGTTTTCTGCTAAAATTAAATAAAAAAGATGTTGTCTTTAATGGGATTATCTTTTTACTCAGTTGACATATTGGTTACAAAAATCCAGATATTTATTAGAGCAGAACGACTGTCTGGAAAAGCTTTAAGTGACTTTACTCTTAACTCAGTGGGAATAAAAGCGTTTACCGTCTGACAAAGGAAACCAAAAATTAGAACAAAAGCAGCAGCTTTGATGAGAGTTTAATAAAGAATTGCATACCCTTTAGTGTTGATAGGTTAATGTGGTCTTATAAGCTTTATTTCATACTATTTTGTTCAAAGTAACACGTTTACATGATTTAGAACCTCTGGTGTTCCTTATTTCATGACACATTTCCGCCCCTATCGCCTATTCTGCTCAGCTTTACAAGCTATTTTGTTGTCTGTTGCTGTGTTGCATATAAATGACGTCACCCGTTGGCCCGTCTTTCTGCCCGGCCGTAGCGTGTAATGGATAACCACCTACACCGAGTAGAGCCGAGCCGGGCCGGGTCCTGGAGGGATGAGTCGGCACTAATGGCAACAAAAAAACAAAAAAAAACAGCCCTAAAATGACCTTCAGAACCAGAAGTAGCCGGCCTGATTAACGCCTGTAGGAAATGGTACTTTGGTGTTAGCACAAACTGACCCTTACATTCTTTTTAAAAGCTATAGATACACACGTGTGCGTATATTACGGTTGTGTTTGTGCAGCTGGGCCTCGTGTCCATACACACTTCATCCTGAGTGGACCGTCCCACGGTGGAACGCTCCCAGTGCCACCCCCGTAGCCAAAGGGGACCCAGACACAGCCACGTTTGGCCCAGGTTTCCAGGGGGGCTTTAGTAGCCGTGCCAGGAGTTTTTTTCTGTTTGCTGCGAAGTGCCATGGCAACGATGGAAGCCCCGGTGGTGGTCAGCTGCCGTCCACTTCTTTGTGAGAAGCTCAACCCGTGCTGTGTGGACTCAGTGTTCACACTCTTGGGCTGTTTGAAGACCTTTCAGATAGAGACTTAGGAAATGATCTCTCTCTCACAGACACACACACACACACACACTGTTACGCAGTGTTTGGACTTTTATCATTCAAGCTTTCACATCTTTATCTCCATCTCCACTTCCTGTTTACAATAGCAAGTAAACTCTCGGTGTACACACTCTGGCTTCCTCTGCCTGAAACTAGTCCTGATCTCCTAGCCTTGGCAGACCCAGCTGTGGCTATTTCCTCATTTCCGATTAGAAAAATTCCAAACTTATTGATTCGCTTTCCCTTTGAATCGGTTTAAATCACCGTGTGCGAGACAGGCCCAGCCTGCCGGTCACTTCCTCCAGCACAGGGACACTTTTCAGTTTATTAGATGATAATCAGACAGGCGCTCCGCAGCCAGCCCCCCCCCCCACAGTGAGGCGGAGGACGGCTGAGCGAGGCCTGAATGTTGCCAAGAAAGAGGGGAATTGAGGCGTTGTGATGCCTACCAATGTAAGTAATGCCCTATGTAGTAAACACATGAAACATTGCTCAGGAAAGCCTTATCTAAGGCTGAATCTTTAGGAAAAAATATATCAGGCACCACTTTTTATTAATTTACAGTTAACTTGTTTTGTTTTTCGGTTTTCCAAAATGGCTGTTGATCATGTGACCTGAACTCGGAGACTCTCTTTGAGAAAGGGGAGCCACAGCCCCTGGCCTCAGGGGTTAGATGTCCCATCCTCAGGCTGCAGGACGTCAGAAAAAAACCAAACTGTCCCTTTCAAAACCCCCGCTGGATTCCTGGGCCTCGCCGTTTGCGTCCCTCACAACAAAACCCCTTTAATGGGTTGAGCTCATCAAAAGTGCCTTTATAAGCGTGTCTGTTCACGCTCAACCAGGCACGTATAGATTTATAGCAGGCATGCGGCAACACGGCAGCATTAGAATAGCTGAGTAATAATTGACTGCTTTTACCTTGGAGCAGAGTTTGGGTTTGGGTTTGTGGCAGCCAGCGTTTGAGCGTGCACGAGCGTTTGAGCGCTGCCCGCTAATGGTTTACAGTCCGGGCCGCCTGCCGCCGCCTTCCAGCCCCATCCGTGTTTGGATGGGTCCCTGCCTTTTGTTCTCTCTGCTCCGAGGTATTTGCACAAGTCCAGAAGTTAAATCTTGTGTCTGTGTGCAATGTGTGGGTGTGGACGTGTGTGTGTGGGGGTGTGTGTGTGTGGGGGGGGAGTTTATCTCATTTGCCTCTGAGCATAATGCCAGACAGTCGGTTTGTCACGCTGCTCTCCTCTCTTCTGTGGCGTGTCATCACACACACTCGGTCACACCATGAATCTCGCAAGCTGCCTGTGTGTGACTTCAAAATGCTCCGCCAGAGGAGGGGAACATCTGGATCCCAAAAGGCCTCTTTCAATTAAATTCAGCCAGCTTCTCTCACTGTCTCCAGCTCTTGGTCCCCTCCCCCCTCCTGCAGCTCACACGCTCTTCCAGTTTTAATGATTACCTAAATTGGTGTGTTTTTTTCTCTCTCTTCTCCCCCTCTCTTCCTTTACAGGCTAAACCTATTTATGGTGGATGGCTGTGCTTGGCCCCCGAGGGAACTGACTTTGACAACCCGATGCAGAGATCTCGGGTAAGAAGGCGTATTATACGCCCGCGAGTTTACTCTGTGAAATGCTTTTTGAAACCCACTGTAGGTAAACTCGCCACCACAGCCCCTTCCCAACTCAGGAAAAAATTCAGGCCAAACACTAATGCCTGATTATTTTTGGCTCCACTGAGAAAAAACAATGTGATTTTCTTTAAAGTGCTTACTTTGAAAGGAGCCTGTTGTAATACCCATGTGTTTCTGCTTACAGAAATGGCAGAGGAGGTTCTTTGTTTTGTACGAGCACGGCTGCCTGCGCTTCGCCCTGGACGAGTCGGTGAGTGCACGCCGTCTGCCCCAAAAGCGCTCCGCTCTTTGCTAACATCCATCAAAATGGCAGAAGTTCTGGGTCCTTGTTTCCCCTCGAGTTCTCACCGGGTCCTTTCCTAAATCTGGTGCCAGACTACACAGGCTGTGTACGTCTGGATATTTCTGTGTGCTGGCAGATTATTTGTTGGATGGGCTTCAGGTTGCTAAGACGCATTAAAGATAAGTCTAAGGAGCCGTTTCTGCTTGTGAGAGCAAAGGTTTTCCACATCTATCTGAATGTTAATTTGATCAGAAAGTCACACCTAGTGCACCTAGCTTATCTCAACCCTAAACTAGATTTTTGTCCACTATAACTTGGTCCCAGAGTTAGCAGAGGTGCTGCTGTCTTTCTGTGAGCAAAGGCTAGCTTAGCATTTGTTGAAATGCTAATAAGGGCTTTTGTGCACGTTAATTTCGTTAGCCAATAACGAAAGGGGGAGAAGCTGACACAGTTTGTAGAGAAAGGTTTTGGTCACATGGTAAAAATCAAAGACAGTTTCGGTCTCTTTGTAACAAACATGGCCTGTACTCCCTGAAAAGCACAACCATAACTCAAGCACATGAAATCGATTCCCAGAAACCTCCTACATTTTCTTACTTCAGACTTGTCCATGTCTTTGTCCTTTTTCTAAATGTTCCTTTGTTTATAGGAGCCATGCTTTGTGTAGTACCATAGAACTTTACCCTCTAGGAGTATTGGTAGTCTTAGTTTCTCACTTCTGACTATTTAGCTCAAATATGCCCTCTTCTTTGGAAGCATCATTGTTTTTAAAGCCTTCAAAATTATTGTTAAAATTGGTTTAAAAGCAGAATGAAAAAGTAGTTTCCCTCACTTGTGCTAGCCAAAATGGTTAAGAAGTTGCAATGAAAAGAGACAATATATCGTGTCAAAAGCTTAAAGTCAAGTAATTGTTTCTGCTTTCACATGCTTTCTGACACCCGGTCACATATCTGTCCAAATAATATTTATATATATGTGCCAGCTTCTGTTTTCAGCAGAACAGCTTTGGCATTTATGTCCGCTTATGATAAATCTGTAGATAAGAACTATGGCGATCGGCCTGGGAATGCGATGAGAATAGGACACTTTTTTCACTAATATAAAGTTTAAAAACCCATATGGCCACAAAATGAGCTGGGCGTAAAAGGTTCTAACTTACTGAAAACACTGGTTATTCACCCTTATATTCTTCACAGTTAAAAACACACACACACACACACTCTGTCCTCCTCTTAGTTCAAACTGACATGGTCTGTTTTGAGGTATAACACAGGGATATATAAATATGTGGTAGCTGGAATTATGAAGAATTGGTTTCCCTTTGTTTAGAATTACAAACTTCGAATTTGATGGAAAACCACAGACTGGTACAGGTGAAATAAACAATATCAGTATTTTGTACATCTAAACATCTTGTTCTTATTTGACTGTTTCCTAAAGCATTAGGTATGCAATAATCCCACCACTCTGTGTTCCACCTTTTAGTCGACTTGTTTACAACACATTAACACACGTTTTATTAAAGGGATGGTGTAATCAACCCCATAAAGATAAAGTTTATGGCTAATTTTTTTCTTAAATCCACAGGAATGACAAATGATTTTGACTTTCTTTCTTCTTATTTTATAGTTTGGATCGTATGTGTTGTTGTTACAGACACGTTTACGTCAAAGTTTAGTCAACCAACAGACCATCCATGTATAACAGGATAGTTATGGGGAAAATGGAGCACACTCTGGAGGATTATGATAATTTCTGGTCAAGCCTGTAAAAAAAACCTCTGTGACCAGCAGCAACAGCAGAGCCCTGTGATGTGTGGACCTGAGTGAGTTCAGCCACAGACTACCAGAACCACAGAGTCAGAGGCCGGGACGTGGGCTGGGTTTGTGGTGGCAGTGTGTCGCCGGGGGGACGTGACACGGGTGACCAAACCCATGCCGGCTGATCAGGCTGGAGATTAGGCTGCTTGTGTGCAAACACTGGGGGGCCACGCGTGGTCAGCCTGCCCGTCCGCAACACACATTCAGACGCAGGGCCCGGTTCAGGGGAGTTTTCAGCTGGACCTTAAAGGTCCTCGTTGGTGTCTGGAGGAGACGGCCTTTCAGCAGGTGGATGGAGATGAGCTGAGTGGACGTTTGAAGTTGCACTGGGTGAATCTTTCTGTGTTTCCAGTGATGACAATGAGAGGAAACCGGTGTCCCAGCGAGGGCGCGTTTCCACTGTGTAATGTGTTTCCAGTGACACCCAGGCTGGCGTGCAGTGGTGTTTTCCTCTTATTGTAACAGCGATTCCAAAACTGTCTGCCTCATTGTCCTGGGCTCTTTTCATCTGCTCCACGAGGCAGGAAAAGTGGGTCAGGGAAACTGCTGCTTTGTGCTCCAGACCCTAAGGACAGGATCTCTCCAAAACCTCCGCGCCGATAACAACTCTTTAGCGGTCCTAATCTCATCAAGCTCATCGTTGTTTATGCAGCGGCTCAAACCACCAGCAAAGGTCAGATAAGATGGGAGAGGTCAGGGTGTAGCTTTACATTTACATATTCTTCTCCTCTGTTATGTATTGTTCTGAATGTAAACAAATATTTCCTGCTGTAAAACATAGTTATCTTCAATATGGTTTTTATTTACATTCTTTTAACAATAATTCTCAATAGAAGTTATTTACTGAGTAGCATATGAATCCTAAAATAAAAATAAAACAACAACTCACCAATAACACTGACTAGGTAAGCCTTTTCAAAAAGAAAAAATGTGAATAGCAACAAAGCACCTCTTTTTTTGTCGAAGATTTGAACACAGAAAAGATCCACCGATTCAAGTGGCTTCACAACCCTTTTAAAGCATTTCCAAACCGTCACTCTGCTCTAATAAAATCTTAATTTCTTCATTTAAAATCCCAAATCAAGCAATTTGGGAATGGCCTCAGCTCCACTGACATGTAGGATGTTCTACATGTTGTCACGCAGTCAATACAGTCCCCCTTCATTCTTCAGATTACAGTGTTTTAAATGAATAAATGCCTTATTTAGCTTAGCAAACAACCAGCTAATATCATCTATGAGTGATGAACACAGCTTAGTTATAAATCTTGAAAAGTTTCCGCTTAAGAACATGAAACATTAACATAGTAAATAATGATTAACGGCAAATGAGCAAAGAGTTTTTCTTTCTTTATTTCCCCCTTAATCCTACCGCTACAATTCTGTAGATGTTTGGGTTTGCCTGTTGTTAACACCTTTCTTCCATTGTAAAGTATTCAAAATGGATACAACGATCAAAGACTGATCCAAAAAGTTGCCTTTTTTGGCTGCACGGTAACTCTCGTTTAACTCCATTTCCCTAACAATTAGGAGACCAGAGTGCTTGAATGAGCATTTCGTCCCAAATCCCCACTCCAAACATTTCGACCCACATGTTGAACAAGGTCCAGGCGGCGATGACATTGCATTCTATTTTTTGCCGTGCAGTCAGCAGCCCCTTTTGAAACGGTAGCCCCTCGAAAGCCGAGCTATTCTCTCCACCAAACGGGAAAGATGCTCTCCCATGTAAAGCAGCATTCCTCCTTCAAATGCCCTTATTTGGAGAACTGCAGTAGTCCTCGCAGCGCCGGGACGGCCGAGCGCGAGAGAGAGAGAGGGAGCGCTGGCCCCTAAAACCCACAGAGAAGCCGTCAGATGTGCCCCAGACAGACATTCCTCTCACACAGATCCAGACCGGGCCAATGCCACCCATCGCAGAACAGTCAATAGGGCCACAAGCACATCGCTCTCACACGATATGAAGAGAAGATATCCAGAAAAACAGAATGTCCAGTAGGATGGAAACGGGGAGACCACCCTGATAGAAAGGCCGACGACCGGGAGACCGCTCCCAAGCAGGGGTCAGGAAAAGGTCTCCAGAACCCCGACCCTCGTCCGCTCCGTATCGTGTTTTAAGTAAAAGGCCGCTTTGTTTTCCATCCTCCGCTCTTCCTTAATGACCGGCCTGCCCCCCCCCCCCCGGAGCCGCGCTCCGCCGGGTGTTGATGGAGGACGCGGCGTGGAGTCGCAGGCAGCGTATAAACCAGCAGCGTCCTCTCCAGACATGCCAGGGACCGGCCCGTAAAAAGCCTCCTGCAGGATTTATATCATTTATGGAGTGGCTGTACTCCACTTAGCTCCAAAGCTCGCCCATTTAACTCGGTTATATAGTTTGTACACGTTCACGGTGAGTCTACAGTTTGGCTTCGGCTGTAATTAGAACGGGACAGTTGAACTTCTAGACACCCCGCTCGCTAGCATGCTAGCATCTTAACAGCCTCTTCCTGTGGGCGGCATTGTTTTGGTGTAGCTTTATCTCGCCTCGCGTCGGCCCGCCGGCCCTGTGAGAAAGTCTCTGCTTTTAATAATATCTCAACGCAAAGCTAAAATTAGCCAACCCCGTGGAACCGAAACACAATTGGAGGATACAAAACTGGTCCAGTTGTGTAGAAGCGACCCCCAGCACAATGGATTCGCCTTTGAATGCTGGTGCTGGCACACATATCTCCCTTTGTTTGAGTGGTGCTCGCTAAGAGAAGGTTTTAAGCCTCTTCTAGCTTCTTTTACACAGACAGAACCAAGATCAAGCAAACTCATCGTCCAAAAACACATCTTCTTCACTTCATTCACTCCATGTTAGAATTTTTCTAGCCACTCATATTTATCGGAACAAACATGGCATAAACCCAGTTTTAATATGTTTTTCAAAGGTTTTTGGTCCTTTATTGCTGAGATATTTTACAAACTGAATAGTATTTGCACAGATAAATGGGGACTTTTAAGGCACCCTTACTGGCCTAAACTGTCTAATTCACATGAACCCCCTCTTAAAACAGCTCTACTCCACAAATCTTGTAAAGTTTGAGAAGTGTGTGTGCATGTGTACAAATTTAGTTATCCATGATAGTCATATTTCAGCTGTCTAACAGACTCTTTAGTCCCAGATATCCAATATCCTACTCTCCAGACGGGTCGAGGTTGGGTTAGCGTTATCGACCACAATAGTAACAAAGCAGCTCAGTTTACCAAAATCCATGTTCCAGTTAAGGGAATCAAGTCATTAGATGAAGCAAAGTTTGTTTGATTGGTCGAAACAAAAGAGCAGCGACTTTATAGGGTGTTGGCCGGTTTAGTTTACTTTCGAGTGAACATGTATTGTTCAGTGTTCAGTCAGGCTAACGTATTAATGAAGTATTGAGGTTGATACTGGAGCAGCAGATCTCTGCGCTTTACAGAGAGGTGAAAACACTCTAAATACCATCAAAAACGCTCCAGCTGCAGCCTGGAGCAACAGCGCCTTCCTCGGTGCTCCGGTGGGGGGGAAATTCTTCTGCCGCGTCCGTCTGAGCCCTTCAGGACCACGCCGTTTAATGGCCATATTTGGCAGCTCCTGGGGGCTCTTGCAGGGGCAGATCTTCATGAAGCCGGGGCGGCCGTTCGGTGGCCATAAAAGGAAGCCCCAGAGGCTCCCCTGGAAGCCCCGCGCAGCCCGAGCACCTGCCTAACATCTGTTTGCAGCTGCGCCTGATAAGAGAGCAGCGGGCGGGGAGAGGGCTCCTCCGGCTCGACGCGAAAGGGACAGTGAGGCTGCAGGGCGACGCATCCCTCCACCAGGAGAGTGTGATTCTCCCACAGCGCCCCCCGGCCCCCCCAGATTTATTTATTTATTTACGTTGTTTCTGATCATTAACGTGACGTTGGCCTTGAATTGCTAGCTGCGGCTAATGGCTAATAATAACACGCCAACATTAATCAAGTCTGCAGGAAACCAAGGATGGATATCCAACTCCGCCCACATCCAAGTCGGCCATTTTGATTAGGTCACCAATAGGAAGATCCCAGGCAAGAAAATCGTAATTTCTTCATGGCAAAATAGACATTAATTGAAAAATAGTGAAATTTATCTTGTAAACACTGAATTAAACTCTACTGTTAAAATAGTGGATGTTAAATAGGTTTGTACAATAAGTCCAAACAAGTTCAACCAAAAAACATTTATTTCTCACAATTATGAAGGGTTAGGGTCAGGGTTAGGGTTAGGGTCAGGGTTAGGGTCATAAATGCAGGCCACCGGCCACCATAACATCAGTAATAAGTCAGTTTGAAATGAAAGACACTAACCTGTCGAAATTCAGTTAAATTTTCGTTTTTTGTTTTTATCCTTGTAGTATCGAAAATGGTATTGAGTATCGAACATTTTCCTGAGGATCATTATTGAGTTGAAAATTTTAGTATGGTGACAACCCTATCTCACATCAACAAAGCGTCTTCAGTCTGACATCCTGCTACTGTCCTCTCCCCTTTTCACTCTGTCCGCTACAGAGGATTTGCTCTGTGAGCGGGGCGGCTGTAGAGCAGGAGCCTGTGAGAGCGCATACAGCCGTTTGAGGTCCGAGCTGTCTGGAATGTGATATCAGTGTTTAGTCGGGCGCACACCCATCAGACATGCAAACAAACCCCAGGGTGGACACGGATGACAAACCAAAACATCCCTTTTCACATTTTTCTTGACAGCTTAGTTTCACAATGATAACGCTAACCGGAGCTGATTTGTTACGTTTGTCTGCCCCCCCCCCCCGCCGCCGAGCACGTTGCCCCAGGGGACGGTGAACATGAACCTCTGCACCGACGTCATCGACGCCGAGCCCAAAACGGGCCAGAAGAACTCGCTGTGCATCATCACCCCCGAGCAGGAGTATTTCATCAGAGGGGAGAACAGAGAGATCATCAACGGGTAAGCCCCCCCTTCGCCCGGGCGAGGCCCAGACAGACCCCCCCACAAAGGTGTGAGCCAGGCCGTGTGTTTGTGTTCCAGCTGGAGCGAGCAGTTGATCGTCTACCCCCGGACCAACAAGCAGAACCAGAAGAAGAAGCGCAAAGTGGAGCCGGCCACCTCGCAGGTACTACACACAACGGCCCGGAGCCCCCCCCCGCCGGGTTTTATCTGGTTTTCACACTCGCCCCGTTCTCGCCCAGGAACCCGGCCCGGCCAAGGTGGCCGTCACCGGCTCCGGGATCCCAGAAGCCGAGAAGGTTCCGGACTCCAGCTCCATCATCTGGCAGGAGGAGCTGAACCAGAGGGAGGCGGAGGGGACGGCGGTTTGGGCCGCCGCCGAGCAGCCCTTAGGGTCACCGCTGCCCCCTGCAGGTAGGGAGGACCTGACAAATCATCAGCGACGTCGCTGCTTAATGTGAATTTCACTGTTATGTGCTCTGTTAGTCGATGTCTTTAAGGGATTGGCCAGTCAGTTTAATCTTTTGGGTGTGCATTCAAACATTTGCTACTCATTCCGAGTAATGTCGACTGTTTGTGACAAAATTCAGGTGTATGAAGGAGGTAGAGAGCTTAACGGGAGCAAAAGCGAGAAATCAGGCATATCCTGTTAAATCGGAGTTCTTCAATAGGGGGTCCTCAAACCCTAGGGGGTCCTGGAGGTACTGCATGGGGGTCGCGACAGATTTGGTTGATTAGACTTTTTTTTTATACACCCCCCTGCAATTTTTTCGACTAATTGAAATGTCTTTAAATCCACATTAACATGGATTCAAGAGACTGTAGTAAACAGATAAATGGAGGCAGACGATGTCTTTCAGTCATCAACACTAACATTCAGCCACACACAGGAGCTCTTTCAAGCTGGGCCCCGTTTCATTCACAACACTTATCCCACCAACCAGCAACCAGAACCAGACGTTCAAAATAAAAACAGGAATATATGAACCTGTGGATTATTTGAGTATCTAAGTATCAAATGCCCAATAACAAGGTACATTTACACACTATAGCACCAGTTTGAGGTAGCACAATTTCAGACAATATATATAATTAGTGGGGTCCCCCGCTCCATCTCGCCATCAGCTAGGGGGTCCTTGGCCTGGAAAACCTTGAAGACCCCTGTGTTAAAGGATTTTAATATTTTAATACCCCCAAACTGCCCTCTGACCCCCCCTCTGACCTGATTCCAGGTGAGAGTGTGCCTGGCCAGGGCTCTGATGCGGGCTCAGTGAACGGGGAGGACGCGGGCCGCGGCGGCCTGCCGCTGCACGGCTCCGTGCCCCAGCCCCCCAGCGACCTGCTCTCCCCGACGGGCTCCTGCTCCAGTCTGGGAGGGGTCCCCCGCTGCCTCTCCCCGGCCCCCAGCGACCCCTTCCCCTCGGGCAGCTCCCTGCTGTCCAACGGCTCCCACATCAGCGGCTCGGTCAGCTCCCTGGACTCGGACGCCAGCGGCAGCACGGTCACCAGCACCGACAGCCACCCCGCCGGCCACAGGGGGGGCCACCACGACACGCCGCGCTCCCGGCGACTGGAGGCCGAGGCCAGAAAGGCTGAGAGGAGGAGTCGCTTTAGAAGCCCTGACAGGCAGGAGAGAGAGGCCGTCCTCAGCCCCGAGAGGAGGTGGGACGCTCTTCTTTCTGTATCCATCCATAAGTTTTCCAAAACTTACAGCTTCTAACCATAAGAGAGTTTCATATATGGAGCTCAGTCCAACTTGGTGCCAGATTAGAGTTGGTCCTGAGCAGTGTCAAATAGTTTTTGTTATTTTGTGTTTAATTGCTGCCAATTTAATGGCCCAGTCCCGGTTCCACCCTTGGTGGTGCCCCTCCATTTTTAAATAAGTTCAAAATAGACCACTGGGATAGGCTCCAGTTCCCCCCGCGACCCCATCAGGGAATAAGCGGTATTGATAATGGATGGATGGAAGTTCAAAATATGCCTGGTTTAATCAGTACACATCTGGGAAGAACCTGTAAAAAATGCATTGTTCAGGCTGCCATATATTTTTTCCCCTCCTACAAAAAGTAAATATGTATTTATATTCCTACTTTTTATACCTTGATAGGGAACGGTGTAGGTTGCCTACCATTGAGTGGAATCAGTCTAACACAGTGGTGAGAATTCATAGAGCCTCACAGCGTGCCTTCAGGCACTATGAATATCTATCTGGTCGGACCTTTAGCTGATTGGTAGTTGTTATTGTAGCTGATGGAAATCGAAAGTGTCCAACCTGTGGTTGTGTTTTCCCTTAAATATGCTTCTACTTCAGGATCGTGTGGGGTTGTTGCAGCCCAAAAGTCTCTTGAAATAGTTTGTATGCAACATAAATGCAACGCAACAATCCAGAACATCGTGGCCTCCATATACCTGCTGCCACCTCAGCGTTAGACACAAAACAATCACAGCGTCAATTACCGTGCTGATCAGAACTCGCGCTGTTTGCATGGAAGTTATTCTAATATGGTTTAATATGGCTTTATTATGAACCGAACAAATCATCCTGACATTTGCAGAACTGTCAGGCTTTACCAAAACAGCAGTATAATAATGTAACATATTGTAAATACTGCAGCCTCATTCAATCCAAAATACTAAGGATGTGAAACACTGACCAAAACATAAGTGGTCAGTATCTGACACCCGGCATGATGTCACAAAATTCATTTACCTGAGACAACTTTTGCTGTTGAGCCACCAATAAGCTCCAAATCAGAATATTTGGAAAGCCATTATAGGCTATAGCTCTGTGTTGAGCAGTCCTTTTATCTGTAAAGAACTTAAAGTATCAGTGTGCGCACTGAAGATGAAAAGAAACCCACTTTTGGTGATCTGTGACGCTGGTTTCTGAAGGAAAAACAAGCAGGCAGGCGGGTGCGATAAGACCTTATGAAGTCAACCCCCGACTTATCCCAGTGAGCCAGGTTAGTAGACTTCTTTCGTGGAATCTGGGATCTGTGTCACAGACGCTGGTCTGAAAATACCTGAGCTGCTGCTTTATCCTTTTAAAGACATGTATGCACACGCGCACCAACAGGCGCTAAGCTCCGGACAGACTCACTAACGGGTGTGCTTTTAATGAGGGGGAGGAGACTGGGCTGGGTTAGATGAAGTGCGAATAAAGTGGGATTTTTTTTATTTTTTTCATTTTGGGCATGTCTTATGTGTTTTCTGGGAAAACGGGTTACTTAACAATCAACTTTTTCCTCTTTTTTTTTTTTTTGTTTCTTGTTTTGGAAGATGGTATAAATTTAGAGGTCCTTTACTTTCCATTCTGTAATCTGCCTCCCGGCAGAAATGGCAACATTTCAAACAAATCCAGTATGTGATGTGGGAGTGTGTGGGGGGGTGGGAGGGGGGTCAACTTTTTCCCCTCTGAGCCGGTTTCCTGTGGCATTTAGATCCCTCCGTCTTTACCAGGCCTGGGAGGAAAAGGAAGAGAGGAAAGCAGGCGGGGTGTGCGAATACTCCCCATAAATACGGATCCTCAGTGGTCCATTCTGGGCCATTTAGGGCTTAAAGGGGCTAACGTTTTCTTCTTTAGCACAGCATTCAGAAAGGCAGCCCTGTTTTGCCGATCCCGAGACCTTTTCTACATTACCTCCCCTCCAAAAATCCAAAGTTGAGTCAATGCAAACGCCAACAATCATCAGATTCTTTGCAATGAAGAGAAAAAAAAGAGCACCGTGGCCTCCCCCAGCTTCGACTTTCCATGATTTGTGTCGAGTGCATACAAAAATGCACCGAGTTCTAGATAAATAAATTGGAGAGTTATCTTTTTCTCAGTCAGTTACATCTGAAGCTAATCAAATGAATAAAATTCCGTTTCAATGAGAGAAGACACAGTTTGGTGGAGCAGAAATGCTGTAGGTAGAATATTTGGTTGTGAATTGGGAAGATTCTTTTACTTCACGGTACTGTTTTGATTAAATAAAAATATTTATTTAATTATATCCCATATTGAGAACATGTGCTGTGCTGGTAGAAGTTAAACATAGTGGCAAAAGGGGAGAAATCCATGGCGGTACATTTGTTCTCACAGTTATGTGATTCTAAAGTACGTTTTAGATTTCCAAAGTTTTCCTTTCATCTTTTCTTTTTTTTAAGGATCTTTTATCTTTGCTCCAGTTCCACCGAACGTCCAGACTAAGAGCAAACTGGCCCTGTGAGGAACGGCAGGTTTCTGACACAGGGCGCCGTATTTGGACTTTCCTCATTAAAACGGTCACTCTGCCAGCTCTGAGGCATCAGTGGCTGACTTTTTCAGGGAAAATCACTCAAAAACACCACGATTTGATTGTTGGAACCAGTTACAATAGGACATAGTTACCCCTCAGGCTTGTTATGGTTGTTCTAGATGCTACTTTTTTATTTTAAGTGGAAATGTATGCATTTTTATATGTAGGGAGAAGTCGTGCATACTGAAAAACGTTTGGTATGGACAGCATATACTGAAGTGAACATGATTACATCATTCATCCAGAACTGACAGCTTTTACATGCAGACAATTAAATATGAAGCACATAAAATTTTGACATCTTAAAGAATTGAAAATGATGTGAACAAATAATCCAAATTAAACCAGGATTGATGCTGACACCGGCTTCATGGAGCCTTTAGCTGTGTAACAGCACAGAATGAGAGCGAACAGATTTATTTTTCAGCCCATAATAGGCACAAGAATTAGCACAAGTGTTATTATTCACACCCATGAAGCCCTGTTCCATTTCGCTGGATTCTCCCCGTCTTTGCTTTCAGCAAACGATGGCAAATGAAACCCAAACTTTGGAGACGGCCCATCTTTAATCCATCCTGCTCCATCGGCCTGAGAAACGGCTTTTTGAGATCGCAGGGTGGGTGGGTGGCCCTCGTTCTGTCCCTGTCCCTCTCCACTCTCATTCATTCCCTTTTAAGGAGACCAGACTTACCAGAAGGGACCCCAAATATGGGCACGATTTAAGCAAGAAAGAAATGCAATATTTCCCACTGCCTCTCGCCCTCGTTCCCTCTAAATTGGATTCTCCTGTTGCTGAGCAAAATGCCGGCCGGAGAGGGAGCGTTTCACAGCAGGTGGTGCCCCGTTGCAGACTTAAGAGCGATGCAGATGGACTCTTGCGAGTGTGGGCTGTTCTCGGATCTGTTGTGAGGCGCTCGCTGTTTTCCTGACATAAAGCTGTCCTTTATCAAAGCCCGGTTTCAACTTAATCTGATGAGCATCATTTCCCACCAACGGGCTGGTGGGAAACCCTACAAGCTTCCTAGTAGTTCCAACATTTGAAACAACATGTGAAGCTGCTGTAGTTTCACAAGTTTTTGGCCGATAATTTCTGTGCTTGAATGTGCAAAAGAAGTACCCAACCACTGTTAAAAGGCCAATCGTCCTTCTTTAAAGGAGGTTTCTGCTGTGGGAAATTCAAAACCATGTCAGTAACTGGGAGCTAAATGTACTGCCTCTGTCCACACAAAGCCAACACTTGGAAAAAGTCCTTTCAGGAGCTTTTCAAGGCTCCTTTGGCTATCGGAGTCCGGTTCCCCTCCATTCATTTTCATCCACACATCCAAGGTGGGGTTGTGTGTGGAACAGGTTCAGGAGGGGAACCAGACATGCTGGAAAACTCAGTGGTGAGAACCTGTTGGTCGAGCCTTTACTCCTGGGGTTTGGTTGGACTCAACCTGTGTGCAGTGTGGGCTGGGTGGTGTTCAAAGCTGGGGCCTGATGAGGCCCTCCCCCAGGTTTTTGGGATGGGGAGCACATTTCCTCACACCAAGCCCCAAAACCGCACCATGAGTATCAGCAGGGAACCAAAAAACTAGCGGTTTACTTAGCTATTGTGTGTTATAACAGTTTAATTAGCTTGTTGCCAACATGTAGAACAATTTAAAAGCATTGATGGTAACATTAATTGTCAACTTTAGTACAACTGTGTTTGGAAATGTTTTTTGCTTAATGTTGATAAGAAAAATGACCATGTTCCACAAAAAAACTTCTGCTGCATCCCACAAATTCTTCTAGGACATTACTTTAAAAACTCAGTTTTTAAAAAAGGAGTGAAAAACTGCTCCTACTAGCTGCTGTTAATAGAGGTAAATGTTTGTCAGACGGTGGTAGAAGAATGTCTATTTCTTTTTCCATCTCCTGTTCAGATTGTTGATATAAAAAACAATTTTAAAAAGCACAAATGTATCCTGAAGAGTTTGTTTTTCTGCTTCCAGTCGCTCCGGTGTTATTGAGAAGCTGGAGGCCTTGGAGCTGGAGAACGCGGAGAAGATGGAGGTGGAGGAGTCGGGGCGGCAGGGCCGCAGCGAGCACCGGCGCTTCCACAGAGAGGTAACGCTCCCATCAGATCACACAGCGCCAGCATTGTGCCGCACCTCACAATAGACACAGCCTCTGATCCCAAACACGGTCACATGACACAGGCCCAGGAAAGCGCCAGCTCGGCCTTTTTTTCCCCCTCCATTCCTCCTCCTCTTTCTTCTCCCTCTTCTCTCCATCCTCCCTCTCTGTCCTGTCTTTGTTTTGATTTTGGGTCAGAGGTCAGCAGTGTGTGCACGGCATTCATTTCCAGTTTCCATTCTTTGGCGGGATTCCCCTGGTGATTACACTTCCCCTCTCCCGCCCCTGCCGTCAAGTCCCACTTGTTTAGGACTCAGGCCCGTCACACAGGCACATTCAGAGTCCAATTAGCCGCATCCTCATCAGACCCACGCTTCAAACATCTGGAATCTGCTCCACTCCCTGCCTCTGTTAGATATTTAAACTCAGAATTAAGCATGGTTTATTTAATCATCTGCTGATTCCAGAGTAGCTGTAGCCACTCAGGACAATGATCATGATTCCAGTAGATTTTAGCCTCTAAAGGCGCTCTATAGACAATCCAGGGAGGTGTTACACTTAACTGGTTTGATGGTTAACTGCCCTTTAAAAAAGTCTTCCTGACACCTTTAAAACGTGTACAGAACCAGCAGAATTAATTCTGGTTACATATGAAGAGATACTCAACATAACATTCAGACTGTGAACATTTTGCATGTCAGTAGTGTCAAAACAAAGCAAATCCAGGTATATGTTACTACTTTATTTCATTTATTTAATTTTATTTGATTTATTTATTTTATCAATTTGTTTTATTAATTTATTTTATTATTATAAAGCCTGTGGTCCTTTTTTAATTAAAAAATTCAGTCTTTTTGGTTATTATGGGTATTTCTTTTTAAAAATGGCACAATAATAACAGGTAAAACCTCTAAAAGATGTGTTTGTGTGACTGTATCTATTAATGGCAAAGGTAAATAATGGGGAGTATCTCTGTGATAATAATCATAGAACTAAAATCTATCATCGGGTCACCCCTTATAAAGCACGCACGTACCGACTCTTTAATGTGGAGGCCTGCTCCCAACAGTTCTCATTCTGTATCCCCCAAATTTCCTGTCACTTCTTCACTGTCCACTCAGAGAAAAGAAAAACTAATTGTATCTTTCAGAATCCAGAGACTTGTCCCAGGGGTTGGACCCCTATAGGCTGTCTAAAACTAAAAAACTAACCTTTCAGGGCCACAGAGTACAAATAATGTGACTTGGGGTCCAGTTACCGGAATTACTTAGTGATATGTGGTAAGTCAAGAAAGTACCTAGGCAAACATGAATTGTACTCCCTGTGTTTTGGACATCAAGAAGAAGTCACAGTGGAGTGATCTCCACCCCTACCTGTGCTTTATTTTGTCATTCCGATGAAGGTGCTCACAAGTTTCTAAAATCGAATTAACTGTAATTAAATTACTGTAAAATGACACGTTTTAATTGTCATGACTTTTATGAAGAACTGGATTTGAACTGTCAATGTGTGTTATATATATATATATATATATATATATATAAACAAAAAAAGATGTATCTAGAAGACAGAGACTTGATTTTATGTGTGAGAGCACTGTGTAAATGCAGGTGTGTTTGTGTGTGTGTGTCTGTGTTGTAGGGGCAGAGGCACGATTTGGATCAGAGTCTGGACTTTCCCTCCACCCTGCCCCCTCTGAGGAGAGCCAAGTCTTTGGACCGCAGAACCACTGAGTCGGTCATGACGGTGAGTGATGGATTTGCTCAAATGGTCTTATTTATGTCCACGACGGCCATATGAATTTGCATTTACCCACTAAATTTAAATGTTACGTTAAAGCTGGCAGCCTCTCAAGGTGACTTTTATTGGCAAAGATCTCAATAGAATGTTTATTTTATGTGTATATTTAATAGAGGGAATAATATTTGGCCGTTTAAATGCAGGCTGAATATAATTATCAACCTTAATTTACCTTGTTTTTAAGCAAAGGGAGAAAAAAAAATAATTCAAATAAGTTCCCAAACAGGAATATAATTAACTTCAGGTTATATTAAGGGTGACATATACAAATATTGAGCCATTTTCACAACTGGACACATGGAACAAGTCCCCCAGAGTCAAATCAGGTGAGAGCAGTTGCAGTGTGTTTGTGTTGGACACACTCAGAGAGCCTCCACCCGGCCGGGGCTGTTTGGCTGAAAAACAGCCGCCGTCGTTATCCAGCGGGAAATGGGGCTGCAGTTTGGGCCGTCAGTCTGAAGCTGCTGCTCAGGGGGACGTGGAAACCGGCCAGATTAGGGCTAAAGACGGGTCAGCGGAGCGGCCAAAGCTGTCTTCCAAGATCTCCACAAGGAGTCCCGCCCCGATGTTCCCCAGTAGCGGGAACGGTTCAGACGTGTGTGTCTGTGTGGAGCTCCCAGCTGTAACCAGACCCTAACGCGCTGTCCCCAGTTATGTAACGCCTCTTTTTGCTCGAGTTTTACTTGCGGCGGCTCGTCAAACGTCCGTCGACAAACCGAAACCCGAGCGTGAGGGAGCGCCGTCGAATCGAATGTCCGCGGCCCGTTCCGCTTATTTCCCAAACGGTGCCGGAACACGGAGAGGCCGGCGCGGGATGACAAAGCCTCCCCTGTTCTGCTAAGCCTCAGGACTCAGGTTCAGCCGCAGTGCCAGGGCCTCGGGTCATTGTTGGGGAGGATCAAACTCCAGCAAAATGCACACACACACACACACACACAGCACATCAGAATGTCTGCTCTGAGGGTTTAGAAGCTGCTCAGAGATCTGCGAAAACGTTTGAGTGAATGATTTCTCTCTATTTCCGATGTGTCCCTGCTGTGGGTGTTGTTGTTGTTGGCCACCCCTCCGCGCAGCAGGGGGCAGTGCAGCCCCCCCTGACCCTTCTCCTCTCCAGGTTAAACTCCTTATTCATTGCGTGTGGTCTTCACTCCCGGTCTATGTCCTGCGTGTGTGTGTGTGTGTGTGTGTAACTGTGCGTCTTCCGGACAAAACCTGTGCGTAAGAGAGACTCTCACAACCTGCCACCGCTTCCTGTGGTCACTGTTCACCTGGATGCGTGTGTGGTTCCCACGGCAGTAGCGAGCACTTGGGTTTCCCGGCCCGGCTGCACGTCTGGCAGAAGCCGGCCCCGCCCGGTGGGCCGCCAGCAGCCCCCCGGCAGGGCCAGCCTCTGCCTCCCGCTGACTGAGTGAGCATGGGTTGTCGCTGCTCTTTTTTTTGTTTCCCTCGCCCTTTTTTTTTTGTGCCGTTCAGAGATCTGCTCCTAGGGGAAATAGTGTGTTTTTGTTTTTGTGTTGCGCAGACGGTAAGTGGTGGTGAGGCTCTGCTTAAAAGGCCGGCTTGCGTTTGCATTTGAAACCACCTGAAATTATTCATTTTTTTCTTTTTTGTTATCCTCTGATTAATTTGTTTTTTTGTTCTTTTTTTTAGCCGGATTTGCTTAACTTCAAGAAAGGATGGATGGTGAAGCTGGACGAGCAAGGCCAGGTACTTTAAAACCAGGCTGACCAGTTGTGAGAAAGAAGAATGTGTCAAAAGGGATGAATGTTCTGCAAGATTATTCAAAATGGAGATTAAAACAAGTTCAAACAGCCTAGGGACGCTCCACCTGGAGCACTGTGGCGTCTTAGACAAGGCTGCGGTCTAGGCTTGTCCCGATCCGATATCTGGATCGGATCGGCCGCCGATATTTGCAAAAAAATTCGTATCAGCCAGCAGGAGAAAATGCAGATCCAGTTTTTTTTTTTAAAGTTCGATCCCACACGAGCATTAGCATTAGCATCCCTAACCCACAGATCTGTGTCCTAACCATTAAGTTGTTATCAGGAAGTAGATAAATACCTTTAAACTTTAGCACATGCTATGATTGGCCGGGATCGGATCGGAAGTGCAAAATGCTGCATCGGGACATCCCTACTGGGGTCACACCTTGATGCTTCATCACTGGTGGGCTCATCGTGGCTCATCTCATGGAAGCTGGAGGTCTTATCCCCCTCTGAGGCATTCTCCGTTCCCCGCTCAGACTCTCTCCGTCTTTTTTGTAGTGGAAGAAGTACTGGTTCGTGTTGACGGATCACAGCTTGAGATACTACAAGGACTCGATAGCGGAGGAGGTGAGCTCACCCGCTTCCCTCCTATTTTTTTTCCACCCCTTCGTTTCTCTGTGGGATGCTGAGCCACGTGTTGTGTTTGTCCCCCCCGCAGGCCTCTGACTTAGATGGTGAGATTGACCTCTCCACCTGCTACAGTGTGACTGAATACCAGGCTCAGCGCAACTACGGCTTCCAGATCCACGTAAGAGGCTTTAATTATTCTCTCCACTGAAATAAAAAGCTTTCCACAGTTTCTCCAACAGCCCTGTAATGAATACACACCCCTTTCATTTCCTCATACACTAAAAAAACCCGCATCCCAGGGCTGTGGAGTTTCAGATTCTGTTCAGTTCACTTCAATTCAAATAGCCCCAAATCACAACAAATGTCATCTGCAGGCATTCTAAAGATACAATCTGATGCAGCTAATAAAGATAATAATGATGTTAATAATTAGTGCTTGGCAGGTCACGATCACGATCAATTGCATACATTTTTGTCCAATAAATTTTGATTAATCGCATTATTATGCACATGATTTAATAAATTATGTATCAGTGTTTATCACATTTTAACGTACCATTTTATAGAAAAATCCCAATCACATTTTCGGCGAATATATGAAGAAAGGTGCTTTTTGCTGCAGTATTGCTGCAGTACAGTAAAGATTCGGAAGTACCACGATGATTAGAGAATTTGGTGTTTCAATGCTTACAAGATGATTTCTTTTAATCCAGCCCGCCATCAGGAAGCGTTTTGAAAGGAAATGTCCCTTTAATAGTTCAGGACTTTTCCTTATTCCGTGCTTGTTAGTTGTTTTCTGTTGAAAGTGAGCGGTCTTAATATGAAGGCTGTGATTGGATGAGGCGCGTGATGATGCCCATCGAGAGCCAATAGAGAGCATCTTCCAATTCTGTGATCCAGGTATAAATATATACCAGGTATCCAGGTATATCCAGTGTGTGGTGCCCAGCTCTAATTACGATACAATCGGAAGTATTCAAATCAAGAAATGTTGGCAGGACGTGCATTTTCAAAGTCTGCTCAGCAACCTCGATACTGATAAACTCCAGAGCGTATTATCAAAATTCAACATTTCAAACCTGGTAATGGCAGCTGAAAATAAATAAATAAATAGGTCTTTAAAAAAAGAGACCCGGCAATGTTCCAAATTCGTGGAAGGCTCATCTGCTTTGGTCAGGAACCTTTTGACTCGTTGCCAGGTGCACATATTGTTGCGTTCAAGGTCTGAAACACTGTGCGTCTCTGGTTGGGGCTTCTGGGGGGTCCAGTCTGGGATGCTAACCGTAGGGGTCAGCTCCCCTCTCTCCAAATGTGTCCGCTCCAACGATCCGCTCTCCCGCTTATTTCCCCGCCAGACCCAGGAGGGCGTGCACACCCTGTCGGCCATGACGGCGGGCATCCGCAGGAACTGGATCCAGGCGGTCCTAAAGAACGTCAGGCCCTCCACCGCCCCCGACGTAGCCAGGTGACCACGGGGCAGGAGCTCACTCTTTTTTTCTTCTTTTTTCTTGGGTTCAGATCTGCAGCTTCCAAACATCTGATACTATACAGATTTGTTTGGACCTCTGATTCTTGTTCTGTGTTTGTTTAATGTCAGCTGATACTGGAAGCCTTTTTAAACCACACTGCTAACAAAGTAAAGAGTGCTAAAAATATGTTCTGTGCTAACTCGTCACTAGGACATAATTTTATATTAATATGTTTTAGAAATGTTTATTTATATTGTTAATACCAGTCTTAACAGTGATATTTGGGCTCATTATTTATGTTAAAAAAGATACCAATTTTGAAAGAAAACTATTGAAACATTTTGATTTCTTCAGTGTCTTGGTGTGTGTGAACAGAAACGGATGAAAGACTCCAGTTGGCTTCTTTTTGTCTGTTTGTCAGAAGAGGGGAAAAACTGGAGATGTCTGTGGGTTTTTGAGTCTTTTGTTTCAGTCTGCATTTGCTCTGTCGATCGCCTTCCAGCTCGACTGAAGACCACGGCTCCTTCTCTCCTCTGGAGGGCCTGGTCCGCCCAGACGTCACCCAGGACTCCCCCTCCTCCGAGGCCTCGTCGGTGGAGAGAGAATCCGCCTCCGGCGCCGTAAAGAGCCGAGCGCGGGAGCGCCGGCGGGAAGGCCGCTCCAAAACCTTCGACTGGGCGGAGTTCCGGCCCATCGCGCAGGCTCTGGCTCAGCAGCGGGCGCAGGAGGCCGGGGGCCTGCAGGCAGACCTGGAGCCCGGCCGGAGGAGGGAGGAGAGGCGGAGGAGGTACGAGACGGCCGCGGCTTCGGAGCAGCCGGACGGGGGGCGGACGGACGGCGAGGGCGCGGGGGGCGTGGCCCCCGCCGGCCCGCCCAGCCCCGCCTCGGCGGAGAGGCAGCAGAGGGTGGAGGAGGTGATCGAGGAGCACTGGCGGCAGGTGGAGAAGACGCCCATCCGCGAGGAGAGGAGGGTGCCTCTGCCCGGCACGCCGCAGGCCAGAGAGGGCTCCGAGCTGGAGCAGCTGCTGGAGAGCTACAAGCAGGGGGTAAGTCCCGGTGACCCCGCCCCCCCACGCCCACACCGCCCCACCCCTGACGCTCCACGCCCACTCCCACAGATTGAAGACCTGAAGGCCCAGTTGGAGAGCTGCCACCAGCAGCTGCTGGACTCCAACAGGCACAAGCAGGAGCTGGAGTTCCAGCTGAGGGCGGCGCTGGAGCGAGAGCAGGACATCCCCTCTGGGTACATCTCTCCGGTGAGTCGCCCCCCCCCCCAGCTATCTGCTGCATCACACCATAGCTTATTCTGGGACCTTCTACTGTGACCTGTCAGGGTTACTGTCAGCCGGGCAGGGATTTCCATCTCATGTTGTAACACTCTTTGCATGTGACGTTACTGTGATAAAACATGAAACACTGACACTGAGGCAGCGGAAGGCCTCCGGTTATGTACCTTTTGCATGAGTTCATTGCATGCCATAAACCGTGAAATCCTGTTTCTACATTGGCTTCTACTAGTCGATCTCCTCTCTGAAGTCTGAGTCTGAACTCATGCTCCTGTTTTTTTCAGTACTACATTTAGCATAAACTAAAGAACTGGACTTTTATTGCTGCTAATGTGACTTGCAGTGGATTATCTCACTCTTTTATTTTTTAATGGATGCTGTTTTACGGTGCCCTCTAAGTCAGCTGTTTGGCATAGGGAGGATGACACATCCAATCAGCTGCTCTCTTCAGAGAAAACGGGAACGTGTAGCTAGAACAACACACAGACTTTAGAAAGAAAAGCACCTGGCAGACCGCAGCCTTGGAATCTCATCAAAACAATTAAAGGAAATCAGGATAAATCTCATCCATCAGAGAAAAACTTATGTGTGATGTGAGGAGGACTAGCCAACGCAAAGTAGATCTGCTGGGGTGATTCCAGCCATGTTGCATTTAAAAAAAACAACAAAAACGTAAAAATAAAAACTGCAATTCATTTTTGCCAAATGACAAATCAACCGAAAAACGACAGACACACCTTGGAAATAGAAAAGAAACTAGGAGTCCGTTGTTCCTGTTTCTGTAAAGCTGGATTACTCCCTTCCTGCTCACTGTTGCCGCCATGGTTCGTTTACTCTGTCACTACCAACAACGATTGTTGGTGAGGATAAAATGTCGCATGAGCCCTGGAAAGAGCTAATTTTTTCATCTCGTACCTGCTTTTACGCTGCATAAGCAACTTAATTCGTTTGTTACTTTTCAATCGCGGATTTCCCCAAATCTACCATGTACACATTTGGCACGTGAACTGGACTACCATGGAAGTTGCACAAAAAAACAACACAAAACTTTTTATGTTGAAAGTGAAAAATCAAATCTGATTTATTTATTTATATATTTTGTCTGTCACGTCTGTATAAGACAGGAACCAGAAACTCTACAAATGTCTTGTCCCTTTTCCTGTTCCTCCCTTCTTCTTCGGTCTGATAACCACATGGTGACCACTCCTTACTGTCACCTGTCATTGCAAACGGATTTTTAAAAATGTCATTTCAGCAATTCCTTCTTCCTCCTTATGTTTTTGTCCATTTTTAGTTCCCCTGTCTCCTGTTTAGCCACAGAGTGACTCCTTAAAATAGTTTAGCATTTAGGTCACGTGAGTGTTATCATCCTTTGTAGTCACTGGCAAAAAAGCTGCATTTGTTTTACATGTTTGGTCAGAAACAGAATAATTATAACCTCTTTTCTTGCATTCTAATTATTTGCATGAATGTCATGATTTTGAACTTCTGTTTATTTCTGCATAGACCATTTATTTGTTTTTGTCTTGACATTGACTTTTTCCTATAGCTAATATACAGTGTTGGATGTATTTCAGTGCCTGCTGGTCGCTGAATGAATCGATTTGCCTTGAAGCTGCTCTTTATAGTTGAAGGATGTCACGTTTGAAGCACCACTGCAATTATTACAGCAGCCTGCAGAGTATGCTTAGTGACATTTCTGGGTCGCCATTTCACTGACAGAACTTTCATTTTAGCGAAAATTTCATAGTTTGAAGAATTCCTCTTAAGTTTGGTAATAGAATTGAAGAGAAGAATTGCATTGGTGTAGACATGAGTTTGGAAAAGAAACAAAATATGTGTTATTGGATCTGGTATGCCTTCCATTCCCGAGAACTCTCCAGCTGAAACTAATATTGCATTACTTACCACATGAAGTAACATTTAACCATTTAATGTGCATGTTCTGTTGTGATTAACTAACCCCGAACCTACAATCTCCTTCTTCTGCTTTTATTTGACATAGTCAAACTTAATTAATTTGAATTAGTTTGGTTTTCGTTGACTTATTTGGGGTAATGGGGGATAGCTGATTGTAATTACACATTTAAATGTAAAATAGCGGGAGGTGATTAGCAGTAAAGGCTGAATTTTGAGCAAGCTTTGTGTCTTCCCTGCTGTGTGTTAACCAACTGTCTGGTCCCCTTTTCCAAGCTGGAGCACCCTTTGGGTCTGGAGGCTGATGTGACGCCCCAGACGAAGAGGCCCGAACTGGTTAGTTCTCAAGCACAGAGTTTAACAAAGAAGTACCAGGAGACCAAAGAGCTCCTAAAGCTGCAAGAGCTGAAAAAACGCAGTATGCAGGCACAGCTTGGCCTCTCACTTTCTCACCCCTCCATCAAGGAGCCTAACTTTTCTGAACCTCAAAACACACCCACATTGGAAAGCCCTCCCCCCAAAGCTGTCCAAAAAGTAGTTAGTTTCTTGCTCCATGACAACGTGGAGGCGATTCAAGAGCTTGAAGACCTTGTGAGCGGCGAACCTCTAACTCTGAAGGAGCTTGGGAAAGTGTTGAAATTTCACAGCTTAAATCAAGAGAGCACTGGAAAACATGAACTTCAGAAGCTCTTGGAAAGTTGGAGGTGCCAACAGGAGATAGAAAATGACATGATAAGGAAGAATTTAGCCAGAGCCGGAGAGAGCATCCGACAATACGAAGCCCGTCTTCTAACCATGGAGGATATCATGGGGAGAGTTCAGAAGCAAAGTTTCGAAGCCCATAACAGCCCCTACGGTCCCTTGTCTAATATCGAAAACCATTCAGAGGTGAATGATATGACCATTGGATTGCTTTCTCAAAGGGTGGAGCTTTTAACGGGCGAAAACAGTGCATTAAAACAACGATGCCAGGAGATAGTGAATCAGCTGACGGAGGCTGACAGAGAAATAGACAGATTAAAAGCTGAACTCATCAGCCAGCAGGGTGGCAAGCAGCATCATCTGGTCCTGGAAGAGCTCAAACGACTGAAGGCAGACCTGGCTGAAAATCAAGCTAACGCTATAGACCGGGAGTATTACGAGAGGGAGCTGAACGAGAAGTCTTTGAGGCTCCACGAAGCATTAGTTACCCTAGAGGAGCTTGGCAACAGCCTTAAAGACACTGAGAAGAAGCTGCAATTAAAGGAGGCCACACTGATAGGTTTAGGCTTTCAGTCGGATTATGAGGATGAGGAATCGCAGCCACACAATGAGCAACTCAGAGAGCTGCTTGAAGCCTCTCAAGCAAAGGCTGTTGAGACTGAAACGAGTCTTCAGTCTGCATTGCAACGCTGTGCGGATCTAGAAGCAAAGAATAATGAGTTAGTTGCACTGAATCAGGAAATACAGAAAGTCAGCCAGGAGAAGCTCGAGCAAGCAGAAGAAGAAGGGAGGACGTTAAGAGACAGATTAGAAAAGAATATGGATAGAGGCAAACAGAATGTTGGTGAGAGTCAAGAGGCGGGTGAGAGGCAGGTGAATGATAAAGGACTTTTCCAGCAAGTAGTAAATGAGATTGAGATGAGGTTTGAGGCAATAGATAAGGTTGTAGAGATTTTAGAAAAGGTAGATGTCAACGTAGAAAAAATGCTTGATCGCATAAAAAGCACTTTATTCAGTCCTTCACAAGAAGGGCTGCTTTATATGAGTAGAAAAGACATGAACTTAGCGTCAGACTCGGAGTTCTGGAGCCAGCTATTAAGCATCACTGAGTTCAAATCTGGCCAAATCTGTGAACCAGGGTTGATGGAGCAGATTATGGCCCAGAAGAATCTGCTGTTCTTGACTAGGAAGGTATTTTTACAGACAGATACTGAGAGTGAGTTTGTGACCGATTTTGCTTCAATGTACAGCTGGCTTGACGATGGAACAAATGCTCAAATTCTTAAAGAGTTGAGAGAAATCTTTGAGGCAAAGTCATGTGACTTGAAGCAAATTGCTTCCAGCCTGAAGCTGGACAAAGATGGCAAGCTCCTGCCTTTAGCTGTTGCAACAGTTGGAATTTGGGGACAACAGAAGCAGTCTTCAGAGTATTTGCTTGACTGTCTAAGAGAAGCACACATGATTTATGGGACCATTAGGCTGAAAGTCCAGCATGAAAAAGACCTACAGCAAAATCAAGTAGCATTACCAACTTACGGCTTTGATTGTCCAAACTGCCCAAAATTGAGAGAGGTTGCCAACAACCTCCAGTCGAACCTAGACGATCTTCAGGATCAGCTTTCTGGGGCTTCTTTGAGAACCGAAGGGCTACAAACTTTAATGCAGATGGAAGGGCAGCCCTTTGACTGTGTGGATAGAACCACTGAGATTCAAGACATGGTAGCCAAGCACAGCAAGGAAATACAAGCAATCAAAGACGGCTATGAACAAGAGGCAGAGAAATTGAGGCAGGAAATAGCCAAAGCCAATGACACCCTTGGCCTTCGTTCAGAAGAGAATATCAAAGAGATGAACACGCTGATTAGCTGTATGGAAAACCTGAAGAAGCAGCATGATATTGAAAAGAAAGACCTCGTGAGGAGGTTTGACTTGGAAATAGAGGAGTTGAAAAGCATGACGGGTCCTGCCAGCTCAGACCAGAGTGGGACCGACCAGCACACGACATCGCACCACGCCTCAGCCCAGACGTCGACCCTGAGGGAGCGCATCCAGGAGCTGGTCACTCAGGTCTCAGTCATGACCGAAGAGATGCGACGGCGCGAAGAGAAGGGTGACATAACCACTCTGCGGCAGAAATACGAGAGAGACCTGGAAAATCTGAAGGTGGAAGCGCTCCTTGTCCTTGTCGTCCTCCCATCTGTGATGCCTTTTTCCCTTTGTGGCATTCCCAGATCCCCTTACTTTCTCCTACTTTTACTCCCTTGCTAACCTTTGCCCACCCACGTCTTGCTCTTCACTTTGTGAACTACTTTTCCACCCCTGTTGCATGGAAACTAACCATTTCTAGTTTATGTAGCCTTTGATGCAGTTGTAGCTGTGTAGTGAGGAACTCATTTTGCTAAGGTTTTATGTCACATGACTCAAAGAACATTATATATGAGATTGGCTTACTCATTAGCCAAGAAGAGATTTAGCGGGGGTTTTCCACTTGTACCTACTCAGCCCTGCTCAGCTTCACTCTTCTCGGTCAGTATCTCGGTCTGTAGTGGTTTTCCATTACAAATGAGATCCTAACAGAAGGATGGGCCAACCAGACGTCATTTGTTTGTAACACAATCAAGAGCACAATAATGAAGGAGATCACAGCCGACAATGCATTGGCTGAAACTTCATGTTGGAGAGCTTTGATGATCAGATGTGTGTTCTTGCCACATTTTTTAAGTAAGTTGATCTCTCTCTCTTGGGAGCTACTTTTACGACTCATCGAGATGTGTGACTCCTAGCCAATCAGCGGCCAACAGTCTGAGGTCAAAACGACTCAGCCCTCTGGGAACCAAGGCCGAGTAGGAAGTAGAATTGTAACTGTTAGGAGCCATGAGCCTGTGATGGGAATGCAAAAAAACAAACAAAAAAAAACAATAGTAGAGTCGAGCTGAGTAGGTCTTAGTATAAAAAAAATATAAAAAACACCAGAGAAGTCATCAGCTTCTATTACAATATGACACAAGTTGCTTTCTCATATTAAATGAGTTCCTCAAATGACAGCTCTGTGTACTTATCATCTAAACTTTCCTTTAGCACATTTTAAAGTACTGACCCTGTGTGAGATGTTGAAAGAGCATCAGTGATGAAAAACGCTTTCAGTTAAATAATGACATGGACTTACATTTTTAATCTTTGATCTGATTCTCTTGAATTTTCCTTCCAACATTTAAACTTGACGGGCTTTTAAGAAATACAATCTATTCTCTGTCCACATAGCAGCTTTTCCATAACTGCCTGCTGGATTTTAGCACCGTTTGCTGGTCGCACTGTGGTCATGTGTAATGAATTTTCTCAAATGTTTCTTACAGGTTAACTTTGTGATTAGAGCCGGCGGCGGCCTTGTTGATGAATTGACCCAAGTAGCCCCAAATGTTTGAGGAACAGCTTATTGCTGTAAATATTTCAGTTGAAGTGTTCAGAGACTTTATGTAGCACAAACAAGATTTCACTACCAAAATTTGATTTTGAAGCCTCTTGAAATGAAACTAAGGTAATTATATGGCTTGAACATACAAGAGGTTTGTAGGGAAGTGCTTTACCTGAACTGACTCTTTCAACTGTGGACAAATAGGACACAGCTTAAAGGTTTTCGGTTGGTATGTTTTTTTTGCTTTACTGTAAGAATTGTGCACGGAAAAGACAGTCTGAATTTTTTTTTTTTACTCATCAAGTCTCATACAAAGACGTAGGTCTTTGTATTAATTTTCCCATCATGTTTTCCTTCTTTTAATTCTGCATTGAGCCCAAAATCTATTTGAACTTTCTTGTATGGAACAAAGGTTTTGTATTTGATAGTTCAACAGGACAAAATTCCTAATTTTAGGCTAGAAATTGTCATTTAGCCTCTTGAACAAATGTTATTAGAAATCATAGTGAATAATTTCGATAATGGACTTTTACATCTGTTGGAGACTCAGGGTTGCCTTTGCTTAAGTCATACGTAAATACCCCCCCATCATGACCCACCAGATACACAAGCTAACATGCTTCCAAAGGTCTAATCTTAGAGCAGGAAGTTTATACTCGCTTCATGGCAGTGGGGGAGGGACACCTTTCATCCTCTCTTTCTTAGTTCCTGCTTCTGTAGTCCAGAGGAGAGGCTTTATCCCTATGAAAACAACAGACCTCCATTTCCTATACGTGGCTGGACTAAAACCAGGGCAGAGAGATGGGGAAATAGGCCCAGCTACTGAATGAGCGCTGGAATTAGCCCCAGTGAACAGAGAGCGGAAGCAGGGCTGACCTTGACGTCAGGCTTTCGGAGAGGCATCGGAATGCCTTCTTGTATAAACCGGCCGTAGTTGAAATATCAGCAATGAGCACTGTTCTACTCATAAAACTGCTGTACCGGCGGTGTCCGTCCCGGCAGTGTTTCAGACGCTCGACTAATGTCACATTTGTCCAGAATTGTTAGCAGAAATTCCATCAGGGATTTAGCCGGTAGACAGATTAGGACTAACTCCACACTGCAGGTGGTGTTAGGAATGAGGATTTTTCTCTAAGTGTCAACAAGAGTTTGTATATAAACAGGAAGCAGCAGCTGTTCTTTTCTAACACTTTAGTGTCTGTGCATTTTTTTCCATTGTAGTACATATCCTTTCATCCTAACCCTTCTTATCTTCAGACAGGCTTGACTTGCTCGTGGCTGACGGGCGCTAACTTTTTTAAAACTTATTATTCGAATATTTTTTATTCCACCTGCTCATCTTACATTAGCAGGAGAACCTGCTTTTTCCTGTCTAGCTTCAAATTCACAGCGTGTACTCCTCTTCGTAAAGGCCACCTGTGAGCGAGGCTTCGCCGCCATGGAGGAGTCCCACCAGAAGGTGATCGACGAGCTGCAGAGGAAACACCAGAGAGAGCTGGAGAACCTGAAGGAGGAGAAGGAGAGGCTGCTGGCCGAGGAGACGGCAGCCACCATCGCTGGTAAACGCGTCCTCCGCTGAAGACCACAGGCCACGGTTTGCTCCTCGGCAGCTGAGGGTGACCAGTTTTTCCGTCTGCCCCCCTCAGCTATCGAAGCCATGAACAACGCTCACCGGACAGAGCTGGAGAAGGAGCTGGAGAAGGCCCGCAAGGCCAGCAACAACACAGAGAACGCAGATATCGAAGAGATCCGCAGACAGCACGAGTGAGTTCTGGCCACTCCCAAATATGCTCAGGTTCAGGATCATAGGTTTCCACCTAAAAAGGCCTCCTTCCCACGCTCAGCTCACAAGAAGAAAAGTAGGACCGAGTTGGGGTCATGGGACATTGGGTTGGGTTCAAACATGAGTTAGATATCCATCCACCCATTATCGTAACTCCATCCATCCATCCATTATCAATACCGCTTATCCCCTAATGGGGTCGCGGGGGGAACTGGAGCCTGTCCCAGTAGCCAATGGGGAGAGGCGGGGTCACCATGGACGGTCCCCAGTCCATCGCAGGGACACACAGACACACACAAGGACCAACAACCACACACACTCACACTAAGGGCAGAAAGGTCCTGGTTCCCCCGGGACTCCAACCCAGAACCCTCTGGTCCTGGTTCCCCCGAGACTCCAACCCAGAACCCTCTGGTCCCGGTTCCCCCGGGACTCCAACCCAGAACCCTCTGGCTGTGATGCTGTGGTGCTAACACCACACCACTGTGCCACCCCTTGAGTTAGATGTCAGGATGAAAACTCATTTTGTCTTTTTCACCATTTTTAAGTTTAAAAAGTTTCTATCTCAGTAACCTTTTTTTGATTCTGTGCATGTGAAATCCGCCTTAGTTGATAAAATCAAGTATCTGTCAGGTTAGGCTGCCAAAATGCGGCTGGTTCAAAGACGGAGGCGACGGCCGCTATTGGCTCTGACATGATTGATAGATGGGGGTGTTTGATGCGGGCGTGTCGGGGCGGCGCCGGCGTCCCCCCCGAGCCCAGCCGGCGGGGCTCTCCCCCCGGAGGCCCGGCCCAACCAGCTGCTCTGCGTTTCAGGGAGGAGCTGTGTTCCTTCCAGCGGGAGATCGAGGTGCTGTCGGAGCAGTATTCCCAGAAGTGCCTGGAAAACGCCCACCTGGCTCAGGCGCTGGAGGCCGAGAGGCAGGCCCTCCGGCAGTGTCAGAGAGAGAACCAGGAGCTCAACGCACACAACCAGGTACACGCACACACGCCAACACACTCGCCCGTACCGGCAGACGCCCCTTTAAAAACACGTTTTTAAAAACACAACTCTCCCGTGCAGGAGCTGAATAACCGGCTGGCAGCCGAGATCACCAAGATGCGCTCCATGATATCTGAAGACGGAGTGGGAGACACCAACACCACAATACAGGGGAAGGAGCTGTACGAGTTAGAGGTAAGGCCATAAAAACGAGTCCATACTGGAACGCTCCGGAGCAGCTGCCTCCCCTCAGGAATGCGGTTTAGCATCAGCTTCTGTCTGATTTACTCCTTCTCTTCCAGGTGATGTTGAGGGTGAAAGAGTCTGAGGTTCAATACCTGAAGCAGGAAATCAACTCGCTTAAAGATGAACTCCAGGCAGCCCAAAGAGTAATAATTTTTTTAATATATTTGCTCATGATGGTGAATGGCGCGCTGGTCCGGGTCTAACAAGCCTCCCCGTGTGTCCCCAGGACAAGAAGTACGCCACGGACAAGTACAAGGACATCTACACGGAGCTGAGCATCGTCCGGGCCAAAGCGGAGCGGGACCTGGGCCGGCTGCGGGAGCAGCTGCAGCTGGCCCACCAGGCCCTGGGCGAGCCCACGCTGGAGGAGGTGGAGCGAGGAGGCTACGGTGCGGTCCCCCGCCCCCCCCCCCGGCCCCCCTTTCTGTGCCTTTCCCCGTCCACTGACAAAATCTCCATTTTCCCCCCACAGATATCATGAAGTCCAAAAGCAACCCCGACATCCTCAAGATGGCGGCGGCGGCGGCCAAGCGCTCGGAGCGCACCGTGCGGTCGAAGGTAGGTGAGGAGGTCCGTTAAGCCCCAGACAACCCCCCCCCCCCCCCCCCGCCCCCCCCCCCCCCCCCCCCACCCGCAGGGCGGCCCGCGGACTCTGTTGCAAATGAACCGGCGCCGTGCTCTAACACACACCTGCCTGGTGTGTTTTCCCCCTTCTGTCCTCAGTCTGTGAGTCGGGACATGCCCTGGGACAGTTAGGCCGTCCGAGGCCCCCCCCCCCGCCTCCTTTAGGTAAATCAAAGTGATGGCTCCAACACACCCTCTCTTCATTACCTCAGTGGTCAGAGTCTGTACTGCTCATCAGCATGCACATATACCCCACTCCACGGACACTCTGTGGACAGTGAGGACCCATGTGGAACCAGAGCAGACATTTTAAGACGTCTAGAGCGTTGCACGGGAGGCTTTCTGTTAAGTTTAGGCTGATGAGTAAAAGGCCCATTTCTAGATGAGAACTGCCTGGGCGGCAGGTTAATCCAGAGGAGGGAAGCCCCACCTGCTCAGGCATTAACTCATTGACTGCCAGCCATTTTCAGAACAGAGTCCCATACTGCCAGAGTTTTTTAAGCATTTTGACTGATTTTTCAAGAGCCACAGAATAGTTTGTGCTATGACTATGTAAACACCGAACACACCTAAAGAAAGAGTAGACTCTCTTCTTTCATCAGGAAAGAAAAAAATTGTTTCTACCTTATTCCGTTCTTCCTCGACTTGCGTCTCACCGGCGACATGTTCTCTCACCGTTACCTTTTTCTTATTTGCCTACAGTCTATGCTCATCTCCCATCAAAAGAGGCACTCTCACCAAGAGGGTCAATTTCTTACTACATACTCTGTCTAGAAGCCGATATTTACGGACAAGCTTTAGCAGATCGTCCCCCAGACCCTCTCGTTGAAAAACATAAAAGACGTTTATAGACGTCTTTGGCAGCCAATGAGTTAAGAGCCCCGGCGGCCCTCCACAGCCGCCCCTCTAAACTGCATGCTTTCTCCCTTCGTCCCTCCAGAGTCTGAAGGAAGGGCTGACGGCGGAGCAGAGACTCCACCTGTTTGAGAATAAAGACACTAAGGAGTTCTGACCCGGACGCGTGGGGTCCGCCTGCTCGGCTGCATGTTTAGAGGTCCACCATATTTTAGCTCTGCATCGACTTATTTAGTAACACTACACACTGGTCACCCGACACGATCATCTATCCTTAAAGAGAACACGGTATGAAGTTTGAATTTCATGTCTAGACTTTGCATTCCATGCACTTCAGTTAACTGTGACATTTTGTATTGTTTCTCTCTTTTGTCATGTCTTATTGTAAATAGTTTTTTTTTTTTTTTTTTTTTTTAATGAGCATCTGTCTTGCGTACACTAAAACGATGACTGTGTAAGCTACTGTTTTAACTCTATAGACTGTTGCTAGCCAAAGACATGAATGTGGTGTTGAATGGCTGAACACGAGCGCTCCGCGGTGAGAGTTAGCCCGGTTAGCCCGGTTAGCCCGGTTAGCGTCGGGTTTGCATGCCCAGCCGGCCTCGGAGCAACAAAACGCTTGTCCGCATCAGAAAAAAGCCGCCGACTTTCCAGCAAAACTCCCCGTAAACCCTCACAAACACGTTGGAAAGGTGACAGCTGAATGCATATGGACGAGTTCACTGACTATAATTTAATGATATAAAGTAAAAGCTATTTAGTTTTTTTTTTTTTTTTTTCCTCACCCCAATCATTTGCCCAGGCTTTTAGGGGTCGTTCAAGTCGGTTTTTGTTTTAAGTTTTTTTTAGTGGCAGTCCCTTTTTTTTTTTTTAAAAAGGTTGGGATTTTTCTTTATCATTCCCCATTCCTCTGTACTCTGTGTTTGTAAATACAATGCAAATATACACCAACTGACTACAGGTTTATTAGCAATAAATATTTTTGCACCCGTTCTGTGTCTGACTGTTTCTGAAAGGGTTTTTTTTTCTGCTTGCTGTACATCAAACCTGATGGAGCTCATGCCTACTTGTCAACTTATATATTGCCAGCATTTTTTCAAACCCAAAGCGGCAATCGACTACCGGAAATGTTTGATTCCACAAAAAGCTTGAAGAGAAAAATAATTCATTTGCAGAACCCCAAAAAAAGGATTATTCGTATTTTTTTCCACCTTTTGATCAAGTTTAATCAGAAACAACTCATTTCGTGTTCCTTCAAACTAAGGCCATTCTTAACAATTTAATGTCGTAGACTTCATTTTTAATGAAGAGGATTAAATCAATCTTGTTGACCTTTGCCCAATAAAGCTTTATTAAGAGGTGAAGGCATGTTTTTTAGGAATTTGTGCATAAGTCCGCAACTCTTAAGGACTCTCGAGAATATAACGAGTCATTGTTGGTCTCTTGAGACAAAGAAACCTTTGGAAAGAAGTCCATGTACCCATCACTTTTGTTTTATTTTTTAATCTTTGCCATGCCTGGTAAAGGCAGAATAGAGCAATGGGAGTGGATGTCAGACTAAAGTGTACCGATCTGGTAACATTGACCTGGCTTCAGTATAAGAGTAACGCCACACTAGTGAACAGTGGATTAGGGTGTAATCGCCACAGCCCTGGCTCTGAGCCCAGTGGCTGGGTACATGTTTCCTTTCAGTACTCGAAGATTAGAGGTCCTAAAGCGTAAGGAGCTGTGTGGATGACTCAATGGCCACGTCTTAATGTCCAAGAGAAGTCTGGAAACTGGAAAAAGTATGATTGTACTTAGTATGGTTATACTATAGAAACTATATAATTACACAAGGATTTAAGTTTAAATTATTTTTTTAATGAAAGATCTTTAGCTGTTAAGATGCGTCTTGCAACAGATGACTATAAAAAAGGATGAAGAACGCCTGGAAATTATTGTGAAATGCTCAAAACTCTAACAAAACAGTTACTCTGGCAGGTAAAACCAGAAGCCACACAACACAGACCTTTATGATAATGGGGGGAAAACCCAACCAAGTACAAGGAAAACCAGTTCAGTTTTTTTAAAACCTTAATGGAACCCTCTAAAAATCTCCAACGGAACAGACAGTGTTCATGAGGGTTGAAGCAAAGCATCGGGTTATTCAGTGGGGTGCTCGAAAACAGGCTTTTTTGGTTTTTACTTGAAGGACTCCGTGGCCCTTGTCCCTGGTTCCTGATCTGCTCCAGTATCACCTGGCTAACCGGAACTGTACAGGTACCCGCAGCTGCGACTCCTTCAATTACAGAGAAAAACACGGATGGCCGCATTCCAAAAATGCTTCCTGTGTGTCCGTTAAGAAAAGAAACTGTCTGAACTGAAAAAGCAATGGCCTTTTTCTTAACACTATGCTCCCAATACCACTTTAAAATGTAAACGCATTGGCAGTTAATTTCAGTCAAAGTCAAAGAAAAAGAAAAAAAAACGTTGGAAAGCGCGAACGTTTTATTGTGAAAAGAACGCCCGGAAGTTAAAGATGGTATTTTAATCAACTTGACTCTACTGCTATCAGAATAGTGTGTTCCTGAAAAGTGAGTGGATATTTGTTAAATTATGGGCTCGCGCTGTTTTAGTTGTACTGGGAATGATAAGAATAGAGGAGTTTTGGGGTGAAATGTCGGGTGGGATGGATTCTTAAGTGGACGTTTAAAAGCGCTAAGATTTCCTTCGTCCGGGTAAGTTTTGATCTGCAGGACAGCGCAGGGTACTACCTCCGTGCTGTCTTTGTTTCATCCAGCCGGGCCTTGCCCCGATGCGTGCCGTCCCTAGCGGAGCCAACGTGATGCGGAATTCCACCAAAAGTTATTCGCAGTTTAAAGATATCTGGCGTGTCGCTTAGTCCAAACACTTAGAACGATCAGTGACGATTTAATTCGGTTTGTTTCAATCTGCTCTACAATTCGTAACCATCTTAACACCATGAAATAAGAACAATTTGAAGCTAAACTTATTAATACAATTACGTCGGTGTATGTGTCCCTCAACAAAGTTAGGAGCAGCCGTAGTAGGTGGTAACCGGTTTTGCATCCAATTCAACTATACAAGTTGTCGTTTAATGTGAAAAATTACATTTTGAAGGAAGCAAAGAATGCCGAAGTGAGAAGTGCCCGCAGCCACGTTGCGGACATGATCAATTTACGTCCGTCAGTCTATAGAATACAGTTTTTGGTGACATCTCTATTTAAGCTAATAAATACATAACGCAGTTAGGCGTGGGAGAACGCTATCGCGGCTAAGCCGGGCCTTGTTAGCATGCTAATATTAGCTGTTGCTAAGCTAACTAGCTAACTGACCTGTCAGTGCCAGCGTTTTTAAATAAGACTCGTTCCGTGTCCAGATGACCATTATCAATTTAATATAACAGCTTAATACAACAGACATTTTACAGCACTATGGTAAATCGAAACAAAGCCAAAACGGAGATGGTAAGTCAACCCTTGCTATGAGAAACGCGTATAGGCAAGTTTTCTGTACAACGTGAGCAGTTGGACTGCAGAGATGGAGGTTTAACTGTTTAGTTGACGTCCCACGGTGAAAGTGATATAAGTAATGTGTCGAATGATGTCCAAACTGATGGCCCGAGATAAAGTTTTTAAGTAAAACCCTAACCTTGCATTTTAAAACAGTATCTCTGTGTTTAGGAAATATCATGACATGGTCACATTGTTAGAAGTAGCTAATGTATTTGTACATGTTTAATTTGAATATACTTTTTCCATTTTTAAACCCTTTCCAGTTGCTATGGAGCAGCCACATGGGAACTTGGATAATCTACAGCCTCCAAATGAGTCCTCCTCCAGCATCCCTACTGTGATTGACCTCACCAGGAAAGGGGAGGATTGCTTCCTCGGCTCCACTGCTCCCGATGCTCTGCGGATGGGCAAGAGCCCTAGCTGGTTCCCAAATTCCGGGACCGCCAATTCAGGATTACAATTCTCAGAGACTGGCTCCTCAGACATAGCGCTTCATTCAGGGGATCAAATTCAACCAGACAATGCCTTGTCCCACACTACAGTTACCCTCTCCTACGTGAGCAGGTCTCATGTGTTCACCACTCACAACTCCCTATCTCAACATTCGCCTCTGTACGCTGTGCCGCCTATCGGCAAGTTCCCCGTCCACCCTCACTGTGACACCGATAACGGGCTTGGGGAGAGCAGTTATACACTGAACCAGCATTACTTGGGGCTGGCGGAGGAGCCCATAAACCTTGCCACTCAGACAGAACTTTTGAACACGTTGCCTCAGGCTCGAGTTAATCCAGAGAATGACGGTCCTGCAGGTCTAACACGGGAGCCTATTGGGTTTAATGGTGGAGCCATTAGTTGTGAAAAGTCCCTACCAGAAGAAGAGGAGCACGGCCTTCCTTTGGAACGTGGTCAGAGTTTGGAGAATGGTGAGCTGGATTGCCAGTCAAATTCCAAAGCATGTGCCGATTCCTCATCCACGACTCTTATCCCCGTTACCGATGAGGATGAAGAGAGAAGGGGTTCCGAGATGCTTATCATTATGTCTAAGAAACAGGACTCTGTGGTGATCTCAGACAGTTTTGCTGATAGAGATCTGTGTTTGATAGGCAGGGATTATAGGAGTCCACTAGAGGACCCCGTTTCCCCAACTGCTACCTCGCTGGAAGACGTGGATGCCATATTCACCCTCCCTCAGGCCTCCTGTTCGCCCAGTGCGGAAAATTGTTACCTAGAGACTCCTGAAGAAGCAGCATGTGATGCCGTTAGCACAGACAGGCAATCTCAACCCAGCTCTGATGTTGGTGATGGCACCACTGGGTTAGACCCAAAGGATCAGAGTAAACCGAGAGCCCATAGACGGAAGGCTGTGTTGGAACCTTTGATTGACTTGACTGATGATGTTTGTGTGTCAGATTTTTCGGAAAATGAACACGATAGCGTCGTTCCTCACGTCAATGGGAATACAAAGGTTGTTCTGAAGGAAAGGACATTACCAATCCGTTCTAGTAGAGGGACACGGCTAGAGGCCATAGTCATGAACATAAATTCAAGCCGGTATAATGTGTCAGGATGCATACTCGCCAATAAAAAAACTAGTGCCTCTCAGTCGACGGCGCACGATTCCGCCTTTGGTGTTTCAAAGAGGAATGATACTTTATCAGTGCGCAAAAGAAGAGGCAAGGTTAAATCTTCTATCTCAGTGAAAACAGCCAAAAGAAAAGCAGTAAAAGTGAAAAAGAGTACATTAATCAATGTTAATACCGACAGTTGTAAAGACTCTACCTCTGATTCTGAACACCTCAACAAGACGAAGAAGCAGCATAGCAGTATACCTCCAAAAAGTCCTCGGACTGCAAGGTCAAAGAGGGAACCAGTACTTCCACCACACACCAGCAGCCCCAAGTCCACCAGGAAACCCCCACCACAGTCAGGTTCTCAGTTTGCTGTGAAGAACTCAAACACGGAGCCCGAGCTGCTCGCGCAGCCCGAAGCCTCCGTGGAAATGAATGTGTCCACGTGTTCTTCCCCAACGCCACAAGCGAAATCTCCAAAGTACAGTCCAGGCAAAGCCCAAAGTAAGTCGCCCGGTAGCAAAGGGCCCCCCACGGCTAAGGTGAGGGCAGCTCGCACTCCCAAACGAAGGCGAAAGAAGCACAAACAGAGCCAGGCTTCCACCTTGTTTTCCCCCAAGGAACCTGAGATCAGGCTGAGGTACATCAACTATAAGGAGGACAAAAGGGACGTGAAGTTGGACAGTTTTTCTCCGTTTGTTCGCGTGAAGCGTCATCAGGCATCGCCATCGCTCTGCACGGTCGTTAACTACCCCGAGGAGGTGAAGACGCAACCCAAGAAGCGCCAGTCGGCGCAGTCCCACCCCGGCGGCTTTATTTCCGCCGTGGTGCCGAGCACTTCCTGTTTGCAGCTGGGCCGAGTTTCCATGCACAGCCAGTACCGGCGCGCTCTCGTCTGCTGCTTATGCGGCCAGTCGGCCAACGCTATCGATTTGGGGGACCTCCACGGACCCTACTACCCCGAGGGATACCGGCCGAGCACCAAAACGCCCGTGGGCACGTCCGAACTCAAAGGGGAAGCGGACGAGTACAGCGATTCGGACTCTTCTTCCTGCAGCATGAGGGGCGGCGGGGGGAGGAAGTGTGCCATCCCCCCCACACCCTGGGCTCTGAAACAAGGAGCCCAGCTGAAGCAGAAGGGTCTGCAGGGGCGCTGCCGGTGGGCCGGAGACGGCGGGAGCAGCCCCGAGAACAAGCGGGCTCGGTTAGACGCTGCTTCCAAAGACGAGGAGGACTGGTACTCCCCTCCTGTCCTGCCCCTGGAGCCCTGCGAGTACTGGCTCCACGAGGACTGCGCCATCTGGTCTGCAGGCGTCTTCCTCGTGAAGGGCAGAGTCTACGGGCTGGAAGAAGCTGCAAAGATGGGCCTGGAGACGGTAAAGCTTTAAGCTTGTGGTTTGACGGGGCGTAAAACGTCCACACACGGAGGTGTGGCTCATAGTGGAGCAGGGAGTTGTCCAAACCGTTGTGGCAGTTGAGTGTTTCAGTCAAATGTTTTCTCTGCCTTGAGGTTGCTAAAAGTTTTCTAGATGTATTCTTAAATCAAAGGATGAGATTCTGGGAATAATGCAATATTATGCCTCTTAAAAAAAGATTATATGCGTTTAGCACAGACAAACTCTGGAACACTGATTGGTTTTTAAATGAAGGAGCCTCCCACACGCCGATCTTTTCTGTTTTATTTGCCGCAATTTTGATTAAAACTTAACACCGAAATTCCGTACAATACATACAACCTTACAACAGCAGTCATCCACAAGATCACGTTTTCTAAAAGTAAAGTCCCTGAATATAATCTTAATGAGTTGCATTTATAATAAAAAAATCATTGTATTATTTCAAATCTTGATGAGAGATACAAAAATATTTGAAAAACATTTGCAAAGTCATTAGATCCCCTGCTATTTCTTTATATACTGAAAAGACGTTTGTGCAACTGTACATTGAAATGTGCTCAAATGGTAAATAAAAATGCTGCGCACAAGACAAAAATACAATTATAACGAAATTAGACGTGAAGATTTGGTTTGAGCCCATTTACTTTTCAGTGCAGTCTGAAATCTTCTTGTCCAGCTTTGTGTGTTGGTCGTCAGGAACTGATCTCCGGGCTTCCTGAAGGACATTCCAAAGCTCTTCTTTGGGTGTTGGCTGTCTTTTGTCCCGTTCTGTCACGATGATCCCACACTGCTTTAGTGTTGTTGAGGTCCAGGCTCCAGGAAGAATTCATCCTTCCATCAGACCTGTTGCCACTGATTTTTAGCCCACTCCCCGTGTCATTTTGCAAGCTCAGCCTTTTCCTCTGCTTTTCTCTTCCTTAATAATGGCTTCCACACACTGAGACTATTTCTAATGAGTTGGTGGAGTAACTAGGGGTCCAGATGCATCTTTTAAGTTCTGTGCTGCCACATTAGTAGGGATATTGGAGGGTTGGAGTTAATTTTTTAGTTGTAATTATTTTTTTTCCCTCCACTTGTCACACATTTCCAGCTAATAGCTCTTTAAGAGTCACCAAGTTGATGTGCTACCTAAAATTTGAATAAATATGCTGTTTCTTTTCAAAAGGCTACCTGTGATAAAGTGCCTTAAGTCATATTTAAATAAGTTACAGCTAAGTTGACATTATGTGTAGGCATATTGACAGATTGTCTGAAACAAGGAGGAAGAAACTGCAAATTTCTTGCAGTGCAACAGAAAAAGAGTTTAAAACTTTAAGAGTTTGACAGCTTGGAAGTAAAATGCAATGACATGAGGCGTGGCTCCACAGTTTTGCTCATTGCTAAAGGCAAGAAAGATTTAGCTAGAGAGACTGAAAGAGGAAAAAATGGCCAAAAGTCCTTTTCAATGTTATCTCCCTGAAAACGGTTATCTCTCTCACACACACACACACACACACACAAAACCGGTAAGACGAAGTCAGCTGAGCGACGACAGCACTGAACGTTTGAAAGTAGCAAATGTGACCACAGGAGTGCACGAGGGTCCAAATAGCTTGATAGGTTTCCTATGGAAATATGTGTTAATGTGGCCTCTTTATTTTGTGTTTGTTTGTTGGAAAATTGTACCAAGGGTTCAGTGTTTGTGCCACAGGATTCTGCTTACTGGGCGTCCATAGAAGTAGCCTTTTTCTTCTCTGCCCCCCCGCCCCCCCCTTATCTCATGTTGGCCATGACTAAACTTTCTATAAAGTGTTTATTATACAAGCAGAAAGGCCACCTAAACCTAAAACTGGTATTTAAAAGTTCAGAATCTTGCAGAGATCTCTTTTTTTTTTTTAAGGTAGATTTTCCCTTTTTTACTGACCTCAAGGACACTAGGGTGCAGACATTTTTAAGATCATGAAAGTGCTTTACACGTTTTCTTTTAAAACTTTTTGTGACGCCTTTTTGCCCTTTTTCCATTTCCTTTTAAAAGCCCCATGCGGCCTCATAGGTACGTGCTACCAAGCAGGAAATATTTCGAGGTGACTTTACCCCACCTGCACAACTACACGCATGAAAAGAAAAAAAGAGAGCAGGAGGTGGTGAATTTCTCTCCGCCACAACATTTTTTTTTTTTTAAAGTAGGTTGGATGTCGCACAGCGGCGAGTAAATGTCCTTAGATATATTCTCGGAATTGAGAAAAAAAGCTCACTGGTTTCACTTCATACAAAAATATTTTAATCCTGTACTGTCACGGGAAGTGCTACTTTGTTTCACAGGTTTTTGAGTCCCTTAATTTGGTAACGTAGGTTTAGAAAAAAATTGGTGTGAAAAACTTGACTTTTTATTCTTAAACTGTAACCCTTAGCCGTATCTCTGGTTTGCTTCTATTCTACCATTCAACCATCAAGAGTCGATATCTGTGAAGATTCTCAGTCATCCAGTTCCAGGTCAAGCTTGAAAAGTTCAGTTAGGCAACTGGACGTGAAGTTTTCCAGAAGACGTTTGGCCTCTCATCCAAAAGGCTTCATCAGTTCTAACTGATGCTGCGGAGCTCTGAGATTAATATACTGTGATGTAACAAAAGAATAAACACTGGCTCCCATCCCTCCTACTGGATGGGCCATAGAGGTCACCTGGGAGGGAGATAATGGTTGTTTGGGGGTTCTGATGAGTCGTTAACTCCCTCATCAGAGTGGAGATGGTAACCTATCGTGACCTCTATGGTCCAAACGTCTTCTAGAAAACTTCACGTCCAGTTGCCTAACTGAACTTTTCAAGCTAGATCAAGAGTTGGCGGTTGAAATGCAGGCTTAGTATACTTTGCAAGCTTGTAAATGTACAGAATGTGGAATTTTTCCAGTATTTTACCACAACATATCGGATCTTTTTTTGTTTTTTTAAATGTCTTCTTTACACATGTTTTCAGATGTGTTCAGCATGCCATCACCCCGGTGCCACGCTGGGCTGCTTCTTCAAAGGCTGTCCGAACAAGTACCACTACAGGTGTGCTCTGGAGTCAGGTGAGTGCAGAGCCAAGGAAATACAGGTGCATTGTTTCAGTTCTTTTTGCTGTTTAATGCTGTCCTTTATTTAAGATAAATTCATCCTCCTTAGGCAGCTATATAGATTTAGTTTGTTTTGTGTTGCGTCCCCTTCCCTCTTGCTTAGTTTGTTGAGAAGACTATCAAGCTGGACCTGATTTATTTGACCTATCTGCTCCTCTCACCTCATATTCTGCACTCTGTTTGGCTTATATTCCGAATGAACTTTTGATCTCATGTAATCTAAATCAGAACCCGTAAACCACAGACTGAGGTTATAGTGTGTGTGCCTCTGGAAATGGCCCGTTTGAGACTCCCACATCACTTCCACCAGGCCTGAACTTGCCTGTGTGGGTGGCTGAGTTTTCCGGATGAATCAGCATCGCATCTAACTGTTCCTGTTGTTCATGTTCTGGCAGATTGTGTTCTCATTGAAGAGAATTTCTCCATGAAGTGTAAGAAGCACAAGGTGAGCGACCCCCTGAGAGAATGTTGCTTTAAAATCTCAATCACGTGTTTAAAACGAAAACAAAATCTCCTCTTTCCCCAGAACAAAACATTCAAAGCACCTCCGGGAAGCCGATGGGACGACAGGTGACACTTCACAGGAACCTCGTGAAGTGAGTACAGCCCTTTGGTATTTAAATTCATGTTGAGCTGTCAACAGGTGTCCGAGCATCACCCTCATTTGCAAATGCTCTTTTAACTAGCAGGTGTTTGCAAAGGCTTTTTACAACACTGATCAGTGTTTGTGTGATGGAGCTCTATAAACAATAGAATCTACAAACAGCCAGCCTTAGAACACCTGGGGATGTTTGCAAATGTAGATGCAAGCGGGCAGATAAAGCACTGAGCAGATCTTTACTCTTGCCCTGCACATTTGGTGCTATATCATCAGTTTTTGTAGTTCTGTTCGTTGAAACAGGAAGAACCAGTTAAACTGGTTCTTTACCAACTGATGGAAAATGTGGGGCTGCCACTGGTATTGTCAGCTGTTGGATAAACACACTAAACGTTTGATTCGATCCGCTACATACCATCCCTACGTCCACCTACTAGCACACAAGCTAAAGTAGATCTATTCTACAGTCACTTGTTGGATCAGTTTAGAATCACCACTTAGATTCTAAGTTGGATAAACTGGTCCAATAAAAATAGGAGTTTGCTCTTTTTTTAGCTTTCAATCAGACTGAAGCTAAGTAGGAGATTTTCTTAAATCATTTCATTTCTAAAGCAACATGATAATGCATTGTCTCTTTGCACAAAGAAACTAGAGAAAATTCATTTGCATTTTATCCTGAAGATAAACTCTGTCAGCACCACTCGACAAAGCTGGGCTCCACTACCAGCAAGAACGATTTAGAGCTATTTCTTCTCCACGTGTACGGCTCAGCCGGATAGCCTTCCCCTCAGAGTGAGACAACCAGAGATGGAGTGCTGCTGCTCTACTACTAGGCATCATTGTATTTGAACATGGATTTATCACTAAAACTGATATGAAACTAGGGTTTTTGGGGTGACTTAACATATCTTAGGGGGGATGAAGCCTCCCCAAGCCGGCCTTATGACACCCATTACCTCTAATTAAAAGCCATTTTACACCGGCCATTGTAAGGCCGCTAAGAACCAAAGGCAGTGGCTGAGGTGAACATGAGCCGCAGACATCCAGTCTCTCAAAGGGTTATTCCCAGAACCCTTTCCTTAACATATTTTATGGGGGGATTTGCTTGTCATCTGTCAAATGGTAACCAAACCGACGGCACGCAGGAAAAACGTTGTGTCTTCATTTATATTCTGTTAGCTAAACCGGCTAGCACTACTGTGGTGAAACAGGGGCGTAGAAGTTACTACTCTGATTAAAAAGCATAATTTATTGCAACCAAGGAAGGAAACAAAACTGCGTGGTCTTCTTAAAGAGGCCAAAATGTAAATATCTTATCCAGCAGTCACCAAACGGCACGAGTTCGGGACCAGACACACAACACATGACCTAATTTCTGTTGTTGTTTCGTCTTTCAAACTGACGCTGTCCGGGTGTGAATGCGTCTCCTAGGAAACGGAAAACCAAGCTCTCATGCCAGCCAGCCCGTTTCCATGATGTGTTCGTGTTCACGTGTTGACGGTGCTCTCCGATTGCCCCGCAGACTCGTCTGCAGCGTCTGGGAGGGGTGGTGGCCCCCCTCCCCCCGTGGTAAACGTGGACCAGGGGTCTTCTGACTGACCGCTAGCACCAACAAACCTTAACGTCACCCTCTGCCCTTCAACTGCACTGTTAGCTCCACGCCGCGACGGGACCCCCCCCGCCCGCCAAACCCTCCCCACTCCAGTCAGCCAGCGCCGCCGGGGGGGCCGAGGAAGACCACGCTGACTTCATCATGTGGGTTGTTATTTATATGGGATTGTTTGGGGCTTTTTTGTTTTGTTTTGTTATTTTTCCTCGGATTAAATATGATTAACAATCAAAGATATTTAATTTTTTTAAAGATTTTCTAAGTATTTGAATATATTTGTTTTATTTATTCCTGAACTTTAAAAAGAATGATTATTATTATTGGGTTCTTTAGCAGTTGTCAAAGAGGTTTGATTGCGGATGTGTGCGTGTGTTTTTGTTTTCTTGAAGTCGAGGTGAAGCGGTTTGATCTTTAACCCTCAGACCAGTTCAGGAGACTGGTTTGTGTCGTAATGAGGTCAGACGTATTGTGGGGCGCCGTGGAACGCCAAACAGCTTCTTTCTTTGCCCCCCCGCGGCGGTCGGGGGCTCGGCTGATGTCGGTCCGATTGTGTTTGTGTTTTCGTGGGAAGCTCCAGCTGCAGTGTTACCGCCCCCCACGCGTCGGGCTTCAGGCTTCACATGTGGCCCCCAGAGCGGCCCCCTCCCACCGTCACAATCAAACGGTATGTTTTCCTCTTCTGGAGTCAGTCAAAGCACTTTGGCCTCCCCCTTTTGGGCCGGGAGCATTTAAAGCTCTGCCCCCAAATCAGATGCTATCTTGGAAGAATTTCAGGGTGAGTTAAGGAGTCCTGTCATGATTGGTTAATAATACAGGCTTACCCCCCCCCCCCCGGATGTGAATGCTTTAGTTTTAAATGTAGTTTGAGCTCTAAAGTCCCCTTTCGCCTGGTTTTTTGCAGAGTAGCTCTCCTTTCAGAGGACACATGAGGGATGTTCTGCTTGTTTCTGTGCTAAACGTTTGGTTTACATCAGCTTTATAGGAATGTTGACGGGGTTCCCATCTCGATTTAGCTCTACAAACGGTGCATTTTCACCCGAACCCTTCTGAGAAAAAAGGCCTTATTCGTCCCACAGAGTGTTGCACCAGCTTTCCTTTAGGAGCCACGACAGATCTGTGGCCGTATGTAATCAGCATTCATCCGGACCAGCCCCACTCTGGAACCGGCCCCCGGCCCAAGCCCACATCCTCGTCCCGTTTCTGAAAAAAAGGAAATCAGTGTGATAAACGTCTGTCTGGGTGTAGTTCTGCGTTAGCACCAGTAGGGGCAGCGTCAGGCCATCAGATCCAGAGGCAGATCCCAGACCCCCCCCCCCTCCAAACGTGCCATGTTTACGTTTACTTCATGTTCTGTTGTCTTGTGTGTCTGTGTGTCTGTGTGTGTGTGTGTGTGTGTGGGCATAACCCAGAGTTCCTCAAGAATTTTTGTTTTCCGTTTTAACTTCTAATCGATTCTTACCAAATACATTTTGGAATTTGTTCTGGTCTAACAAATCTAGGAGGTGGAACCCCTCAGTCCATCTGGGTATCTCAGGGCTGATTCTTGGATATTGTAATGACTTTGTTTTGACTTCTGGGCTTTGTTTCCGTGCCGACCCAGCCGGGGCTGGAGTGTGTCATTAGTTTTTTCCTCTCTGATGCAAAGCTCCGTCTGTCCTGGAACACACTACCTTTACATTCCAACCCCTCCCCCATCCGTCAGTGCTGTGGTGTGTGTTTGTTGTTGTTTTTTTTCTATATTTTTTTCACAGTTTAACATGGACTCGGACTGCCAGCGCTTTGTTATACTGTTGTCGATGTCTTACGTTTTGGGGCGTTTTTGTACCGTCTTGTTCACCTCTCAGAGCAGAAGAGGTCGTGTAATTGTCGAAATTAAATATTTTGTTCAACGTTCTGTTTTTCCGTATGTGATTAATTTATTGGGGATTTATGAGGAAATACTTTGTGGCTGTAAGGCTCCACAGCCGAGCAGCAGGATGGACCAAAAAGATCCTCCAGCAGATAATCCTTTTGCATAATGACACTACACACTTAAAGTTTACTATTACAGTAGAACCTTTACTTACGATGCCTAAACATACAAGTATTACAACAGCCGAGGTGAAATTCGATTAAACATTCGACTCGACACTGAATTTCTAACATACGGTCAACATGACATAGAAAAAATATATAAAAAAATTTGATAAAACTAAATAAGTTACTTTTAAAGTTCATGTAGTAAAAGTCAGAGTAAATTCAACAGCAAGGGATCCTCTCAGTTCTACTCTTTCATGACGTAGCCCCCCCATCCAAAGCTATTGACACATAAAACTAGATTTTGGCTTTAGTTTATCCCATAGTGTGTAAGTAATCTGGAAAATCTTTTTTTTTTTTTTTCATTACACACTGTCACATTAGACCCGCAAAGTGTGTTTTTATTTCGATTATTTTTCAGGCCTTGGAGTAAACGTGACCCTGCAAATTCGATAGAGCCAAAGGGGGGGCTGCTGTATGTTAGAATAACTGTCCACTTTATTTGTTGGTAATGCACAAGAAAAAAATGTGTGGGGGCTTTAATGAAAAAAAAGGATAAAATGAAATATGGCTCCAGGAAGGCTTCTCCTTTTGTGTGGGTTCCCTCCAGAAAACCTGAGGAGAAGAAACACATCCACCAGCAGAGCACGCAAACTCCACCCAGAAAGATTCCAATAGAACATTAGATGATGAGTAAAAGTAACCAGGGAGAAAAACATGCAACGTACTGCTTTGCAACACGTTTACATGGAAGTCAGTGTTCAATCATCACATAAAAGTCAGCTATCAACCATCAAAAAGCCTTGTTCAGAACAATAATATACCCATTTAGAGAGGAACTTCAAAGGTTTTTCTTCTGTGAGACAGATGTGTCCAGTGACTGTGTTCAAAGTGGTTTCAACGTGGAATTCTGGAAGGACTTCAGATACTCAGAGGTCCTCAGGGGGACGAATGTTCAACTTTTAGGGTTCAGATGTTACGCTTCATGTAGTGTTTGACTTGGCTTGGATGGTATAGGCATAAAAAGCGGGGTATGAGTACAAAACCTAATCAATTCCAAACGGTAAGACATGGAGAATCGGTGAAAATGAATGAGTCAGAATCCAGAGGAGCTGTTGCTGAGGCCTCCAGAAACGCCTGGAGCTCTGGAACTGATGGAGAAAAGTCCACGCAGGATCAGAAAGATTCAGCGACTCATCACACATAAATCTAACCCAAAACAGGTTCGTAAGAACAGATAACTACTTGGAACTTGTTAACATGAGAAGATTTTAAAAAAGAGATTAAAAAAATAATAATAAAGTGAGAATGTAAACTGTTGTAAAGATATTTGGACCAAGTTACAATATGTGAAAAGGGACTTTTTAGCAATAAAAATGATTATTTCTTATTATTATCATTATTGTTAATGATAACAATATTTTAAAGAGTTCCAAAAAAATCTTGTTAGTAGTTACTGCTCTATCATTTTCTCGGAACGCCTCTGATAACGAGACAGACCAGCAGATGTCAGTGGTGCTCATATGTGGGCTTTACTTCCCATTTTGAGCTGTTCTAGACTGAGAAACTCTTTCTTTTTAAATAGCGAGTATCTTCTCTATCAAAACTGACAGGGACAAAGGAAAATAGAGGCTATTGGCACTTTTTTTAAGAGGCAAATACTTAAAAAAAAATCTGGGCCTATATGATAGGTTGAGGCAAACAAAACATATTCTGAAAAATATTCAAATAAATGTCAACAGATGTTAAATTAATAAAAGATCAAATGTGAATTGAAAAAACACAACTATTTGTGTTCGTTTAATGGTTGTTTAGTCAATTTATTAATCTGATTATTTTGGGCATATTTCTGAAGAGGTTACATAATATATTACAATATATCAAATTATAACATATTTCAGGCTATGAAGTAAACATGACCCTGCAAATTAACTGGAAGGGGTGGCGGTGTAAAAGCTGTTTTGTGTTGTGTTCAACACAAAAAAGACAAAGCGAAATATCACTCCAACAGGGATTCTCCTTTTATTGACTAAGTCTGAGCTTACAGGAAGACAGTTGTATTGCAAAGACAAAACGGGATGCACGTTCTAGTGGTCATCTACTCACTAAGACTGGACTCCACACGATGCTGTGAAACACATCAGAAACACACAAACACGTCGCGGTTTGGATGGCGAAGCCTGACTCACACTCCAGGTGCTCTGATAAACTCAGGGCCCTCAAAAACCACTCCTCCATTCCAGGAAAGACGATTTCTGCCGTGCAAACAGGTCCTTCAACGCTAATGTTGGGCGTTTGTCTTGCTCTGAAGATAAGATCCCAAATCCCAAACGCACAAACGCCTTGTAGAAATGTTCTAAATACGCAATACTGCCAAAATCAAATAAAAATGGGTCAATTTAGTAAATTGATTGAGGTTACAGAAACCTAAACCTTGATTTGTATGTATGGGACTCCCAGGAGAAAACATTGTTACTGGCCCACTGATAAAACCTGTATTGTAAAAATTGTGGTACAGTTACACAACAGGGTTTCTATTTGTATAATTCCTTCAGTATTGTTTGACGTTAGATAATGTCAAACAATACCGACACTGTTCAGCTGTTCCTCACCTGAGCCATGACAGCACTACATTTAGTTGATAAAACACTAAATATTTTGTTGCTCCAGCTACTAAAAAACAAGAAACATGACATGACTGGATGAATAACTGAATTCAGTCATGCAGTTTAATTGATCGTGAATTCAATATGCCAATTCAATTTCTGAATTTGGGTTCAGGTTTATGGTGAAGTTTAATGTAAGCACAAAAAAACAACCATATACGCCCAAATCATTAATCAATGTGTTTGCACCAACAATGGCAAATATGAGCTGAAAGTGTAGTTTTGGTGCGCCTGACTTTTTAATCTTTCCATTTGTGTTAAAATTCATTGTATCGACGCTTCAAAGAGCTAGACCAATCCTAACGCTAAACAAAGCAGTTTAGTAATCCATAAACACAAAACGTAGCCGTTTAGCTAAACCTAACCGCTTAGCTAAAAGCTTTAGCTTTGCCCGTTTTTCTTTTTTCTCGAGAAAATTCCATTTCTATCAGGTGTAGTTCCAAACAGACACCTGGAGAAAACTAAATAAATCTTGAAGAGTCGACATAAAGAATCCTGTATGGCAAAACAGAGAACTACATGTTTTTTTTAGCTTTGCAACAATAAGCTAACTCGGCTTTTGCTTAAGCTAATGTGCGTCGCTGGAGTATGTGGACTTACACCTCCAATTATTCTGGATTTGGCAACACAGAGTGAGTAACCAGTAAACACAAAACGTCTATCAATTTTAAAAAAAGGCTTTATCTTCTATTGTGAAGATAAAGCCTTTTTTGTCAAAAAACAAAAAAATCGGAAGTCATGTTAGCTTAAGTGAGACACGGTTAGCTTTAATCAGTGATGCTGTTTTGGTTTTTCATTGGACCGAACGATAGTGGCTGGCCAACGTCTGGATGTGCTTTAACGGTGTGGTGGACGCCGGGTTTGGTGGGATGCTGTGAGGGGGCCGTGATGAAGTCATGAGTGGGCAGCGTGTGGTCACCGGGAGCCGGGGCTGGAGCGGAGCGGCCAGCTGACGGCGGCCGGCCGGAGGACGGCCACAGTGTCAGCTCTGTCCTTTGTTCTGGGTCAGGAGACCTCATGAGGTCAGTCAGTCACAAGATGCAGTAATGTGCGTACACAGAACATGGTGGAAAAGTGCCCCCCACCCTGGCCAGGGCCTGACTCCCACCAGCTCCAGGCTGGGACTGTCCACTGCTCTGTTCCTGAACACTACAGCTGCCCCCCCCACCCTGGCCCCCCCTGGGGGGGGACTGTCCACTGCTCTGTTCCTGAACACTACAGCTGCTGACTGGAAAAACACACAGCAGGTTTTCACAAGAGCTTCTTTTTTTTTTTTCTAGCACACGATCATGCAGATTTATGTGGGGACAGCTAAGCCTAACAGCCATTTCTGAGCATCTTTTTAATTATTCAAATGATATTAATGAAGCGTAAGCAAGTAATGGCTTTTTTTTTTTTGCTTTGTTACTTTTTAAAAGTCACATAAAAATCGGAAATCCAAACATCCAGGATCCTTTTTGGAGCTAGCCTCTGCTTAGCTGGTGGTTCATTGCCTCTGGCTCTATGTCCACATGCTTCATTGCTAATATTTTTCTTCATTTTCCCGGTTTGAAGTCATAAAGACAGTTTCACAACATTAGTACAAACACATCACACAGAATAGAAACTAATTATTGTTCAGATTTTTTTTTTTTTTTTAGCCCTAGGAGTCTGTAACACTAGTTTTCACTCTTGGTCAGAATGCAAGAAATTGTGCTACTGCAAAGAAAGTCACATCACAACATTTCACATATCTTTTTTTGTGTGTGTGTCTGTATCTGTGTGTGTGTGTAAAGCCAGTTAAAACGTTTTTTTCATGAACTGTCAGCTACTCATCATGCAGTTTAGAAAAGTTGGGTCAGGAGGGATCGTTTCCTCCTAAAGGAGATGGAGTTGATCCTTTCTTCTTTCCCGATTATCTTCAGCTCGAACATTTTTTACAGAAATCAAAGTCGCTGTAAAAATCACGATGAAAACAAAGGCAGTGGGGGCAGAAATGACTCGGCCAAAGCTCAAAAGAAAAGCCCCAGTGAGCAGAAAACGGAGTCTTTCGGCAGGGACAGATAAAACTAGCTGTGTTGGAGCACAGAGATGAAGAATCCTCCATCGGAGTCCTGCTGCGTTCCCGGACCACCAGAACCACCAGCGGGGGTCTGGCATCAAAACCTGAAAGCCTTCCGACCATTTCCACTCAAATGGAAAACAAAGAAAGCAACCTTACAAAAAAACAACAACAAAAAACGATAGAAAAAATAGAGTTTGTAGTCTTTTTAGATTTAAATAAACAACACAATTCAATTCCAAAGCGAAATAAATGTGAGTTTTTTTAGATACTCACAACACAAACAAACACACCCACGCTTTCACATTTCTGTTAGAATTTAAACATTTTTGAACCCGTCGCTTGTTCCTTTGAACAATTTGTGTCCTTTGAGCTCCGTTTCAGTCCTCAAAAATACAAATCCACGGCCCCCCGGTGACTTCGAACCTTCAGAGGTTCCACAAACGCACCGCGCTGCCACTTTTTTAAACCTTTTTTTTTGGTAGAAGTATTGCTTTAAGAAATCCATTTTGGTTCTTCCCCCCATGGTTTCAGTGACAGAATCTCTAATGAAACTTTACCTCAGGACACATAACGGAACGGTTCTTCTTCTGGTGTCTTTTGGGACCAAACCCCCCCCCCCCCCCCGGGACTCGCGCCCCCCCTTAAATCCGCCCCCCCTTACCCCCCCCGCGCTGCTCTTCCTCTCCAGGAACGGGGACGGGTTCACTCTGAGTTTCTTAGTTAAAGCATGCACGGCGCTGTGGTTTGTACCGGGGGGGGGGGCAACAGACTGAGGCGGCGCCGCGGCGTGGACGCCCTCAGACGCAGATTTCTATGGGCGTGGCCCCCAGCATGCGCCCCCCCGGGGAGCTGTTCTCTCGCGGCATGCGCTCGTAGCTGTTGGTGGACGACACAGAGCTGTTGGTGGACACGGACACGAAGTGGTGCCCGCCGCCGGCCTCCCCCGCGCCTCCTTTGGCGCCGCCCCCCCCTCTGGGAGAGGTGGGCGAAAGAGTCTGCTGCTTCATTCGCTCCACCAGGACCTCCTCGTCTTCCTCCCCAGACGAAGATGCGGAGATATGGCCGTCTGCTTCCCCCCGCGGGCTGCCCCCTCCCCCTCCCCCACCGCCGCTGACCCTCTCCCCGCCGCCGTTGCCGTTGCCGTTGCCGTTGCCATTGTTGTTGTCATTCTCGGCGTCCAGCATCCAGGAGTGGCTGAAGTAGCCGAACACCTCCTTGACGGAGCAGCGGCGGTCCTGCTCCACCGACAGCAGCCGGCGGAACATGCGCAGCGCCTGCTCGGTGAAGCGCCGCCACTGCGACGGCACGCCGTTCGTCCGCCTCCGCTGCCAGCGGATGAACTCCTGGTAGAAGGAGTCCGAGGGCAGCGCCTTCTCCCAGGGGAAGTTGCCGGTCAGCATGCAGAAGAGCAGCACGCCGAAGGCCCACACGTCGGTGCTGTAGTCCACGCAGAAGCCCTCGTGGCGCGAGGCGTCGCACAGCTCCGGCGCCGTGTAGGGGATGGTCCCGCTCACCTGGGGGCGGGTCAACGCGTCACAGAGGCGGAAGAAATGCTTAAGAAGCGAGGGAACCGAAACGCTACTCACTCGTTTGACCGGCGAGCCGGCCCTGCGGGTCATGCCGAAATCGGACAGCTTGACCTTTCGGCACTCTCTGTCAAAAATGAGAATGTTTTCGGGCTTGATGTCCCGGTGCACCAGCTTCTTGCAGTGCATGTAGTCCAGAGCGATGGCTACCTGGTGCACACAGCGCTTTGCTACCGACTCAGGAAGACCAACCTTAGGGAGCAGAAAGGAGCAGAACACACACAGAACAGTTAGACTGTAAGACCTCAAACACAGGATACTGTGTGCCGACTAACTCCATGTTTTATAAAGGATATCTCTTAAGGATCTCTCTATAAAGGATATCTCTTAAGGATCTGAGTGTCATCTGTATAGCTGTGGTAGGAGGCATTATTCCTAATGGAAGCATGTACAGAACAAAAGGGGTCCCAGGATTGACCCCAGGGGAACCCCACAGGTCAGAACCATTCTTTCTGAGACAAAGTTCCCTATTTAAAAAAAAGTAACAGGACTTGAACCAGGGTTAGAAATTTCTAGGAATTTTGGTATTAGCCAGCAATGCTAACAGCCTTGACCAAAAGTAGCGAGCCCGATTGGTACTATACTGTCACGTGAGAATACTATATCCGAATATTTCTTCGTAGCCTTGCGTCACGTCGCGTCATATTCAGAAATCAACATGCAGTAAATCCTCTGTAAGCAGATCTCCTGGAACGCTGTGGTCGCTGTGCAATAATATAATATTATTAAAAACGTTTTTAGTTCCTCTCGCTTGGCGGTGCTACCACGTCATGCCTCCAATGATTATCATAAAAATGATGATAAACAGCAGGATAACATGGCAGGATGATGGAACGTTGATTCCCTGTTTATTTTGCATGTATTTGATATAAAAACTTCATTTGCAAACCGGTCCTACCCTACAGAGTTGAGTGCACGACGGGCTGATAGCTTGTGATTTTCTCACGCCCACACAATAAAGCGTGCGCACCGGGCGCACAGTCGAACGGTTATTTCGTACCCTGCTTGAACCACTTTAAAGGCGTACCAGAGATTACCACCCAGCCGTCAACGACAAAATCTACAAGTCGACAACAAAACACAAGTTTTTTTAGGTAGGACGGCAGCTGTGGACGGGCACCTGTGGGGGAATGATGTCAAAGAGGTCTCCCGCCAGAGCGTACTCCTGTGCAAAGACGTAGTACTCGTCCGTCTCGAAGGCCACGCCGAACATGTTGATGATGAAGGGGCAGGGCGACAGGTAGAGGGAGATGCTGTACTCCCGCAGGAAGGACTTCAGCTTGGTCGTCTTCTTCTTCAGGAACTTCAGCGCCATTTTCGTTCCTGTGGAGAAAGACACAGAAGATTAGCTTTTTCCAAGTAAACGCTAAAGGCTGTGCGGTGCCGATGGTCCAGGCTCCCCCACCTCGGATCTTGTGGATGACCAGATCCACCTTGCCATAGGTGCCTTTGCCCAGCTCCCTGATCACCTCGTAGTACTTGTTGACCTCGAGCCTCTCCAGGTTTTGCGCAGCGATCACCTGCAGGTCGTCCAGGATGTCCACGTTGGCTCGAGAAGCCAGCGGGGAGGAGCTCATGGTGGCGGCGGGCTCCGAGGGCGGAGCGGGAGCAGGAGCAGGGAACGGACACTCAGGAAGGACCGGAGCAGCGGGAGCTAACGGCTAAGATCACTGCACACACAAATGTGGGCGCATTTTTAAAAAAACATTCAAAGTTCTTCAGCATATCTAGCGTATTTCTTGTAGCGTAGTAAGAGTTTAATCCTTTGGTTTTTCTAGACATCCAGAGTTTGCCAGCATGCTGTCTGTGTTTAGCTAACCCTCCCCAAACCTCAACATTGTGGAAGCCTGGTGGGATCACCTCCCCAGAAAATAGAACAAAATGCCAGCCGACATCCAAAATGCTGCTTTATGTTGGCCACATGTTTTCTTTTATATATAGATACAAAAGGTATACAGTAGAACCTCTACATACAAATTTAATTACTTCGAGGACCTACTTTGTATGTTAAAATATTCATATTTTGGTTCAAATATTCCCATCAGAATACATTGTAATTTGGTTCCAAAAACTTCCGATAACTCCTTAATAAATATCACACATAATCACACATAGCAATAAAACAAATGACTTATAGAAGAGAGATGTAAAAAGAAATAAATTATAATTATCAATAAAAGG